GCATTGAATGTTTGCTGTAGATATGCTGCGCTCCACCCTGAGTCCCCTTCGTGGTGAGAAGAAGGGCGGAATATAAATGTTATAAATAAATAAAATCATCACCAGACTGTATAGGTCAACAGCAAGCTAGACTTAATGGTCGGGAGCTCACTCCGACCCGGGCTGGTTTCGAAGACACGACCTCTCGGTCAGTAGTGATTTAATGCAACTGGCTACTAATGAATTGCACCACAGTAAGCAGTCTGTGGTTTGCTCTTCTCCGCTCTACTCGCATGTCGTGGACTTGTATGTGGTGGCCCCATTTCTGCACCTTGTGAAGCTGGAGTGCAGCCTGTTTAGCGCCTTCCAGGTTGCCCCGTCTTTGGTGTGCCCAGGAATGCCATTCAGAGGAGACCAATGCAAAGCCTTTAGGCCTCTGCTGTGTCCAGTGGAGCGAGGCGGGGACCCTCAAAGCCCCTCCCTGAACTGCAGATCCCAGAATCCCGCAGGAAGCAGCGGTTGCAGTTTGGAGCGGGAAAGCAGCGCTGTCGCTTTGCAATGGGAGAAGCACCCAAGAGGCCCGCAAGGCCTCTTTCCAAGCTCTGCTGGGCCGCAGCCTTTTGAGTGGCACAGGTGGTGCAAACCATTCGGGCAAAACAGGAGTCCGGCCCGTTGGAGGTGAGATGGTGATAATACCCCCGCACCCTTGGGGGCCATAGCGGGGGCCCCCTGCCCTTTTCTTCTTGGCCGGGCCCATCATGCATGCTTAACTTGGGGGGGGGGGGGCAATGGTGCAAATGCAAACAAATGCAACATGTTCCATCAAGACCAAGTAGGCAGAACATATTGCAAAGAACAAAAATAACTTTCTGGCCTTGCATCGCACATTTTAGTGCAAACACTAAGACACAATTAGTGTTCGATTCAGCAAGTATGGCCGAACGTCATGCCACGGTCCCCAACATACCCACCCATCTTGACTTGATTGGATGGCCATCTGTCGGGGTGCTTTGAGTGCAACTTTCCTGCTTCTTGACAGAAAGGGGTTGGAATGGATGATGGCCCAGGAGTTCTCGTCCAACTCTAGGATGCTAGGATTCTATGTTCAGCAGTGGAACTCTCTGCCCCAGAGGGAGTGTGGTGGAGGCTCCTTCTTTGGAAGCTTTGAAACAGAGGCTGGATGGCCATCTGTCAGGGGTGATTTGAATGCAATATTCCTGCTTCTTGGCAGAAAGGGGTTGGAATGGATGACGGCCCAGGAGTTCTCGTCCAACTCTAGGATGCTAGGATTCTATGTTCAGCAGTGGAACTCTCTGCCCCAGAGGGAGTGTGGTGGAGGCTCCTTCTTTGGAGGCTTTTAACAGAGGTTGGATGGCCATCTGTCAGGGGTGATTTGAATGCAATATTCCTGCTTCTTGGCAGAATGGGGTTGGACTGGATGATGGCCCAGGAGGTCTCTTCCCACTCTAGGATTCTCATGCGCCATCAAATCTAATGCGCAATTCAATTTCCACAACCCCAAAAGAGTATTTGTTGGCGAACGTAATGTGCACCAGCAAAAATGTATTTATTTATTTGTTTGTTTATCTATTATTTATTTATGGCATTAATATGCTGCCCTTCTCACCCCGAAGGGGACTCAGAGCGTCTTACAAGATATATATACATACGATATATTAAATCATTAGCATAGTACAATATCAGTATCATATATTGCTATATTGCACTGTACCATTATATTGTCATATTATTAGTAATATTACATGAAATATATAATATTTAATTATAATATATTATTATTATTATATTGTATTGCATTATAATATTATCAATATTATATGTATATACAATATATTATATTATTAGCATAGTACACTATCAGTATGATACATTACTATATTGCACTATACCATTATATTGCGATATTATTAGTAATATTATGTGTAACGTAAATATATAATTATAAATATAATATTGTATTATTATTACTAGTACTATATTGTATTATTATAGTATTATAAATGTTATATGTATATACAATATATTATATTATTGGTATAGTACAATATCAGTTTTAAATATTACTATTTTGTGCTATACCATTATATTGCAATATTATTAGTAATATTACATGAAATATATAATACATAATTATAAATATAATATTGTCTTATTATTACTAGTATTATATTGTATTACATTATAATATATAAATATTATATGTATATACAATGTACTATATTACATTACGGCGCTCCATGCAGTCATGCCGGCCACATGACCTTGGAGGTGTCTGCGGACAACGCTGGCTCTTCGGCTTAGAAATGGAGATGAGCACCACACCCCAGAGTCAAACCTGACTGGACTTAATGTCAGGGGACTACCTTTACCTTATATTACATTATTAGTAAAGACAAGATGGGAAAAGTGTCTCCTTCGTCACTTGCGCATTGCAGTTGTTGCTTGCTTAGAATGCCTTCTCTAAACACAAAAATATTGGGGAGCCAAAGCTTCCGGCCACAGAAAAGGAAACCTTGGGGTGCATCTATGCTGCAGTTTTATTCGGGGAGATGGTGGCGGGGTATAAATAATAATAATAACAATAATAATAATAATAATAATAATAATTGCACTTAAATTGCCTTGGTTCAATGCTATGAAGTTGTGGGCAGTGTCGTTTTGCAAAGCCTTGAGCCTCCTCGGCCCAAGAACACAAATGCCTTGCAAAACTACAGATCCCAGTACAGCGTGATTGCATTGCTCACTGGCCATTTAGTTGGAGATGGCGTACCTCAAGGAGGAGCTCCAGGTGCAACTCCTGCAGCAGCCTCCCCTTTGGCTTTGGCCCAGCGTCAAGATGACGATATTATGCAAATCTAATGCGCACCCTAATTTTGGGAAGGCAGTTCAGCCCAGAAGGGCGAGCGCTAGATTCGAGCAAATCCCATACCCGTTCTTGCAAGGGGCATTGCATTCCCAACAGTCCCCTTTGGCTTTGGCTCAGCGTTAAGATGATGATATTATGCAAATCTAATGCGCATCCTCATTTTGGGAAGGCAGTTCAGCCCAGAAGGGCGAGCGCTAGATTCGAGCAAATCCCATACCCGTTCTTGCAAGGGGCATTGCATTCCCAACAGTCCCCTTTGGCTTTGGCTCAGCGTTAAGATGATGATATTATGCAAATCTAATGCACACCCTAATTTTGGGAAGGCAGTTCAGCCCAGAAGGGCGAGCGCTAGATTCGAGCAAATCCCATACCCGTTCTTGCAAGGGGCATTGCATTCCCAACAGTCCCCTTTGGCTTTGGCTCAGCGTTAAGATGATGATATTATGCAAATCTAATGCACACCCTAATTTTGGGAAGGCAGTTCAGCCCAGAAGGGCGAGCGCTAGATTCGAGCAAATCCCATACCCGTTCTTGCAAGGGGCATTGCATTCCCAACAGTCCCCTTTGGCTTTGGCTCAGCGTTAAGATGATGATATTATGCAAATCTAATGCGCATCCTCATTTTGGGAAGGCAGTTCAGCCCAGAAGGGCGAGCGCTAGATTCGAGCAAATCCCATACCCGTTCTTGCAAGGGGCATTGCATTCCCAACAGTCCCCTTTGGCTTTGGCTCAGCGTTAAGATGATGATATTATGCAAATCTAATGCGCATCCTCATTTTGGGAAGGCAGTTCAGCCCGGAAAGGTGAGCACTAGATTCGAGCAAATCCCATACCCGTTCTTGCAAGGGGCATTGCATTCCCAACAGTCCCCTTTGGCTTTGGCTCAGCGTTAAGATGATGATATTATGCAAATCTAATTCGCATCCTCATTTTGGGAAGGCAGTTCAGCCCGGAAAGGTGAGCACTAGATTTGAGCAAATGTGGTCCCAATCTGGCATGACTTGTTTTTGATAAATCCATGTTGACTCTTAGCGATGACCGCATTTGTTTCTAAGTGTTTGCAGACCACTTCCTTAACAATCTTTTCCAGAATCTTGCCTGGTATCGACGTGAGGCTGACCAGACAGTAATTGTTTGGGTCATCCTTTTTTCCTTCTTGAAGATTGGGACCACATTGGCTCTCCTGCAGTCTGCTGGAACTTCTCCCGTTCTCCAAGAACTCTCAATGATGATTGCCAATCGTTCCGAAATGACTTCCGCTAGTTCCTTCAGTACTCTTGGGTGTAGTTGATCTGGCCCTGGGGACTTGAACTCATTTAGAGCGGCCAGGTATTCCTGGACGACTTGTTTCCCAATTTGGGGTTGGATGTCCTCTAATCCCCCACCCACTCCATCTTGCTGAGGTTGAAGATGACTTTCTTTTTGTGAGAAGACTGAGGCAAAGAAGGCATTAAGTAGTTCTGCCTTTTCCCTATCACCCCCTGTCAGCATTGCCCCATCTTCTCCTCGAAGAGGCCCTATCGCCTCCTTGTTCTTCCTTTTTCAACTGACAACCCTGGCAAGCCTGAGCTCGTTTTGTGCTTTAGCCTTGCGGACCTTTTCCCTACAGGTGTTGGCTATTTGTTTGAATTCTTCTTTTGTGATTTCTCCCTTTTTCCACTTCTTGTGCATGTCTCTTTTGTGTCTTAGCACAGTTAGAAGTTCTTTGGACATCCATTCTGGCTTCTTTGCACTTGTCCTATTTTTTCTCTTTGTTGGCACGATTTGCAATTGCGCCTTGAGTATTTCACTCTTGAGAAATTCCCATCCATCCGTAACTCCCTTGTCTTTTAGTATCTTGTGTCCACGGAATGCTGCTCAGTGTTTCCTTCATTTTTCGGAAATCAGCTCTCCTAAAGTCCAAAATGCGGGTTTGACTTGTCTTAGTTTCGGCCTTCCTTTGTACTTCAAATTGCATTACATTCCCAACAGAGTATTGTTGCAAAAATCAACACCTTTGCTACTTCTGCGATTGCATTTTGCACTTTGGCAGAATGTATTCCCAGTATTGTGTTGTGTTTTGAAGTCCAGCGCAGCAATTTGGGGTGTGTGTGGGGAGAAACTGTGGATCTCTGGGATCTCTGCCTGTGCCCAGATGTCTCCTGCGGTTTGGTTCCTCGCCCGCCGCCTGGAGTTTTGCATCCCGCCTGGCCGATGCCAGAAGGTGACGTTGCTTTTGGGGGAATGGGCCTCGGCTTTGCCTTTGGTGTCTTTCCTTTCAGACTTGCATCGGCGACTCCTTCCAACCCGAGTGGCACTTTGCGCCACTGTTGCACGCTCAACCTGCCAGCGTGTGTTGCCTGCCCTGATAACAATCTGCCGCAGCAGAGATTGCGTGGGAGCCGATTCCAGGCCAGGGAGGCTAATTCTGATGCGGGAGCCGCCTTGGCACCTTCGGGAACGTGGGAGACACCCACGGGTTCTTCCTCGTGCGGAAGCGCCTTCTTCCTTGGAGGCTTTTAAACAGAGGCTGGGTGGCCGTCTGTCGGTAAGGCTTGGATGGTGCTTCTCCTTCCTGGCAGAGAGAGGGGTTGGACTAGATGGCCCTTGGGGGTCCCTTCCAACTCTGTGTAAGAACAGCTGGATGTTCTGGGTTGTTGTAGATTTTTTCAGGCTATATGGCCATATTCTAGAGGCATTCTCTCCTGACGTTTCGCCTGCATCTATGGCAAGCATCTTCAAAGGTAATGGCTGGATGTTCCTTTGCCAACAGGCCAGCGGTCAAGCAAGATGAGGAAGTGGCTCAAGTGTCGTATCATCAGCATTTTTTGGTCTGAGGCCTGGAGGCCGTGCTTCTTCTGGCCATAATTTCCGTGGAAGAAAGTTTGGTTATGATAAGTTCATTACTTTGAAAACTCCCTTTTTTTCTCTGCGTTGATTTCATTCATCTCCTCCCTTTCCTTCAAGCAGCTCATGCTCCTCAGATCATAGTAAAGTAAAGGTCAAGGTTTCCCCTTGACGTTAAGTTGTGTCCAGCTCTGGGACTCTGGTGCGCATCTCCATTTCTAAGCCAAAGAGCCAGCGTTGTCCGCAGATGCCTCCAAGGGCATGACTGCACGGACTCCATTACCTTCCCGCCGGAGCAGTACCCATTTACTCACATTCGCATGTTTTTGAACTGTTAGGTTGGCAGAAGCTGGGGCTGACAGCAGGAGCTCACCCCGCTCTTCGGATTTGAATCACCAACCTTTCGGTCAGCAAGTTCCACAGCTCTGCGGTTTAACCTGCTGTGCCACCAGGGGGGCTCCTGGGTCATACTGTTGTTGTTGTTATTATTATTATTATTATTATTATTATTATTATTATTACTACTATTGTTGTTGTTGTTGTTGTTAGGGGCTCCTAGATCAATTTGTTGTTGTTGTTATTATTTTTACTATTATTTATTTATTTATTTATTTTATACTAGCCGTCCCCTGTCACTCATTGCTGTGGCCCATTCTGTGTATATGTGTTTTGTGTGTGTATATGTGTGTGTGTATATGTGTGTATATATTTGTGTATATGTGTGTGTTTGCATATATATGTGTGTGGTTTTGTGCATATGTTAAAACATACTTTTATGTTTTGGCATTTTAAGTCTCTTCTGTTGCGCTATTCAGTGTTTTCATGAGTGATGGTCACTTGTTGGCCTGAGAGGTGTCTTGTGTCCAAATTTGGTGTCAATTCGCCCAATGGTTTTTGAGTTATGCTAATCCAACAAACGAACATGACCTTTTTATTTATATGGATTAAAATATGATTATATTACAGATATTATAATCATATAATATAAATAATATAATATTAATATTGACATGATGATGTTTATTTATACTTTGCTCGTTCTCTCCACAAAGGAGACTCAAAAGCGGCTTAGGCTCCTCCATGTTGTGGGTCCTTCCACCTGGTGGGTAGCCATGGCTTGAGACCATGCAATGGTCAGGGGTGTCTCTGACCCCCAAGTCCTTCCCCACCTGTGGTTCTGGGCCTCTGGCTCCAGCAGAAGAGGGTCTATTGGAGGTCTTGAATCCCCACTGAAAGGAGCCTGTCATCCAGGTACGGGAGGAGTCTCCCTGCCTGGAACTCATTGGGCCAAGTGGGAGGTTCTCCCTCCGGTGGGTAGCCATGGCCTGAGACCATGCAATGGTCAGGGATGCCTCTGACCCCCAAGTCCTTCCCCACCTGTGGTTCTGGGCCTATGGCTCCAGCGGAAGAAGGTCTTTCAGAGGCCTTGAATCCCCATTGAAAGGAGCCTGTCATCCAGGTACGGGAGGAGTCTCCCTGCCTGGAACTCATTGGGCCAAGTGGGAGGCTCTCCCTCCAGTGGGTAGCCATGACCTGAGACCATGCAATGGTCAGGGGTGTCTCTGGCCCCCCAAAGACCCCTTTGCCCCTCACCCAGCCCTTCCCCATCCATGGTTCCAGCAGAAGAGGGTCTTTCGGAGGCCTTGAATCCCCACTGAAAGGAGCCTGTCATCCAGGAACGGGAGGAGTCTCCCTGCCTGGAACTCATTGGGCCAAGTGGGAGGTTCTCCCTCCGGGACGGGATTCATTTGTGGGGAGATGACAAGTTAATTGTTGTCAGGCGGTGGCGCATGTGTTGGGGCTTGCAGCAGAAGTGCTGAGCCTGCACGGCCGGGGCTTTCGGCCTCCGAGGGAGGGAGAGAGTGCTGGAGAGGAAGCCCCAGGAGAGGGAGGGGGAGGAGACCCCTTGTGCCCCCCTCGCATCCTGCCCCACGGGTGCAAAAGCAAGGGAGGGCAGTGGGGCACACGCTACCCTTGCCTCCACGGCTGGCTCCCTTCCTCTCGTGTGTGCAGAGCCGACTCTAGGTAATTTTCAAATGTAAGCAAACAGTATTTTTGCACACATCCCCTCCCAACCAATCACTGATATATATTTTCTGTTGGTTGTGGGAGTTCTGTGTGCCATATTTGGTTCAATTCCATCATTGGTGAACTATACAACCCAGTAACTACAACTCACATATGTCCAGGTCTATTTTCCCTCGAGCACCCCTGGGCAATATCAACTCTACCGCGACTGCTTACTTTGCGTAAGGGTTGAGCCGCCCCTGTGTGTGTGCAGGAGGAGCACAGCCCGCGTCCCAGATACAGTTTAAATGCAAACAGTGCAACGAAAACAACATGTAAATGCTCCTCGCTCGCTCGGATTAAGTTGTGTGCCTTTCTGGGGTGTGTGCGTGCGCATGCGCTTCCGCCGCACCAGGTGCTTTGAGGGCCAGGGAAGTCTAAGGCAGGTAGGAAGGAGGAGAAGTGCTGGAAAGGCCCTCTTCCAGAACCACACATCCTTTGAGGCTCAAGGCCAAGGCCGGGAGCGGCGGGGAGAAGGTGGGTTTCGTTCTGTTGCTTCCCAAGAGTGTCGCGTACAGCAACCGGCGTCATAACCATTTTGCAAAACGAGGAGGAGGAGTGGCCGGGCCCGGCTCTCTCTGGCAGGGGAGGATTGTGCCGCGTAAGCTGTCTGCTGCTGGAGCCGGTGCCGGCCTCGGTTGGGTCCCTAGCCTCACGCTGCCCCGCTTTCCCTCCTTCCCGGCAGGACCTGCGCTCGCTGGACGGCTGCATCCAGAGCACGCTCTCGGCGCTCTTCCCGCCCTTTGAGTCCACAGCGGCCACGCTCCTGGGACAGGTCTTCGACGGGGTGGAGGCCGCCTTCCGTGGAGACGGGCTGCGCTACCTCACCGGCTTCCTCATCCCGGCCAAGCACATCCTCCAGTGCGTCCAGCAAGAGGCCTGCGTGAGTACAAGGCGCCTCCAAGACCTCTCTTGTCCTTACCCTCACTGACCCGAGTGCAAAACTTCCACACTTTTGCCAAAGTTAAAGCTTTACGTGCCAAAGCCGGCATGAGCCAACTTGGGCCCTCCTGCAATGTTTTGGACTTCACCTCCCACAATTGTGGAAGCCCAAAGCACCTGGAGGAGGGCCGAATCTGGACCATGCCTGCACCTGCCGCAGGAAACGTATTTATTTATTTATTGACAGTATTTATATATTCCGCCCTTCTCACCCCGCGGATTACAATGTACACATATATGGCAAACATTCAATGCCAAAGACACACAACAGATATAGAGAGACAGTCAGAGGCTGGTGGGGACGAGGGAGAGGGCCTTCTCGGTGGTGGCCCCCGTTCTCTGGAACTCACTTCCCAAGGACATCAGGCATGCCCCAACTCTGGCAGTCTTTAGGAGGAGCCTGAAAACATGGCTGTTCCAGTGTGCCTTCCCGGAATAAGGAAAAATTCCCAGCAATATGTCCTCAGAATGCACTTTACTATTGGATTAGGTTGGACTGCGCTCCCTCATCTATATATATAAAAAGGTGAACGTCGTCCTGAGTGGTTCAAAAACGGAAAAACTACAGGACCAAATATCACCAAATTTGGCCTTCTAATGCCTCATACATACCCCAAGGTATGACCAACAATCATCAAAATTCCAATACACACCAAAACAAACTCACACATTCAAAACAACACGGAGCATGCGCACAGGGGTGGGGAATAACATATATTAAATACCAGTACTTTGTCTTTGCTTTTTTTTTCATACCATCACACTATGCCACAGCAACGCGTGGCCGGGTACAGCTAGTTTCTTTTAAAACTCTATACCATATATCTCCTACCTTGTCATGCCCGGGCACACAAATCCTTGTGTGTATTGTTCATTGGTTATTGTTTATATGTTATTTATATTAATTGTATTGCGTTTATTGTTTTTGTTTATTGCTTTTGTTTGTATTGATGTGGTGTTGGGCTTGGCCTCATGTAAGCCGCTCCGAGTCCCCTTGGGGAGATAGATGGTGGCGGGGTATAAATAAAGTATTATTATTATTATTATTATTATTATTATTATTATTTTCTACCCTTCTCACACCGCTGGGGACTCGGGGCAGATCACAAGGCACATATACATGGCAAACATCCAATGCCATAGACACACAACATATATAGACAGACACACAGAGGCTACTTAACATTCCAGCTTTTTTCATGAGGGTATTCTGGCCACCAGGGGGAGCTGTCGCTTCACCGTCCATTTGTGACACTGATGAAGTACTTCCTCATTCTTTGCATGCTTGCTGGAGATTTTTATGGCCTCCCCGCATAGTTAAATTTGCCTCCCCGCATAAGCGGTACTTAATTTTCCTACTTGACAGATGCAACTGCAAAGGTCGACAGCAAGCTACACAAAATTGGTTGGAAGCTCACTCCGACTCGGGCTGGCTTTGAACTCATGACCTTTCAGTCAGTAGTGATCTTAATGCAGTCTTTTGGTCGGTTGGTGTGAGCCTCTCCTCCCATTCCTCTCTCTCTCTCTCTCTCTCTGAGATCATATTAACAGATGCAGAAATTGCCGCGGAGAAGGGAATGGGCCACTCCACCCTCCTCTTCCACTGGTCACGCCCAATTGCTCATTCTCGCAGATGGCGGTGACAATTACTGCTCCCCTCTCAGGTCTTTCGGTCGGTTGGTATGAGCATCTCACCCCGTTCTCCTCTCTCTCTGAGATTAATAGAGGTGGAGATTGCATGGAGAAGGGAACGGGCCACTCCACCCTCCCCTCCCCTCCCCTCCCCTCCCCTCCCACAGGCCGGGCCCAATGGCTCATTCCCGTGGATGGAGGCGACAATTACTGCTCCCCTCTCGGGTCATTCGGTCGGTTGGTGCGAGATCTCACGCCGTTCCTCTCTCTCTCTGAGATCATATTAACAGATGCAGAAATTGCCGCGGAGAAGGGAACGGGCCACTCCACCCTCCTCTTCCACTGGTCACGCCCAATTGCTCATTCTCGCAGATGGCGGCGACAATCACCGCTCCCCTCTCTGGTCGTTCAGTCGGTTGGTGCGAGATCTCACCCGTTCTTCTCTCTGTCTCTTGCCTTGCAGGCCCCGTTCTGCGGCCGGCTCTTCCGCCACGAGGGCTGGCCGCTCTGCCTGGGGGAGAAGGTGGTCGTCCAGCTGGGTGTACTTGACCGGCGGGCGCTGAAGCCTGGGGACTTCTACCTGCAGGTGGTCCCTTCCTCAACGTCCCCCCCGCGGATTGTGGTCAAGTGCCTCTCGCCCGACGGGTGCCACCTGGAGCAGCTGGTGGTCCCAGAGGAGTGCTACACGTCCATCTTCACCCCAGGATGGCTGGAGGGCCTCAACCGGGAGCGGAGGGGACCGGCGTTGGGCAGCTGCCTCCTGGCCACTGAGGGCGGGGCCATCCGCCTGCCCTGGGAGCACATTGTGCGGCCAGAGTTCGTCCCCAGCGAGGCCCCCGCCATGGCCGAGAGGCCTCCTTCGCCTGATTTTTCAGAAGAGTGGTCTCGGAATGGATCCCGGGACTTCCGTGGGGCAGGGACGCCCGAAGAGGTGGAGGTCCTGCCCACATCGGTGGGGCCTTTGAGGAGAGCAGCTCCAGGCAAGGAGAAGGACCTGGGAGGGGAATACGCCGCATTGACCGAGGTCTCCCGGGTGCCGGAGGTATCCGGGGCCCAGCCAGCCCCTCCCACTTGCCGCTGTGCTGAAACCGGGGCCCGGGATTGGCCCCTGTCTTGTCCAGACGGCAGCACTTCCTTGAGCAACGGAGTCGGCGTGGACCTGCCGCCAACAGCAAGTGGGCAGCTGAGGATCTCCGAGGCGCAGACTGGCGATGCCGGGATCTCTTGGGTGAATGAAGGTGGAACGGGAAGCGACATGTTGCCCCTGAGGGAGCCCCCCACCCCTCTGCCCTCCACGGAGGGGGAGACCCTTCCCTCGGGGCACGAACTCGACTGGCGGTTTGCCATGTGCCGCTTCCAGGAGGCAGAAGAGTCCGAGGGTACGCTGCCCGCGACCGAGATCCCCCCTCGAAGTGAGGGAAGGGCCACCGAGGTGCTGGACAATGGCTGGTCTCCGGGAGCAGGCCGTGTCGGAGTGTGGGATGCTGAGGATCAGCAGGGAGGGAGGGGGGCCAGGGGGGGTGGGGGCCCTCGGAGTGATGGGGTCCTGGTAGAGGAGCCTTGTGGGGGGGCTCATGAAGACCATCAAATTGTTGACCTCTGCTGCCAGGAGGAGGAGGACAACGATGACAATTCTGGTTACGCCAACTCAAGCCCCTCGTCCACAATGAAGTCGTTCCTACCAGAAGGCGACCCGGATGGGACGCTGGAGCCTGGTCTCCTTGCTGAAGAGCCTCCACCTGCGGTGACCTGCCAGTTGGCTCCTCATCTGGAACGGATGGAGGAGAAGGAGATAAAGAGGGAAGCTGACCGGTTGGAGGGGCCACGCTGTGGGGCCGGAGAGGGGGCTGAGCAAGGCCTGCGAGAGCAGCACAGCCCTAGAGACCCTCCTCCGACTCTGTGGTCCAGCACGAAGGAGCAGGATCAGGCGGAGGAGGATGGCCAAATGCCCCATGACCGCAGCGCCCTTCTGTTTAGCCCCTCTGTACCAACGCAACCAGAGAGCAGCTGCCCCACTTTGACAGGCACAGAACCGCTGGGCTTCTCAGGCCTCCTCAGTGCGGAAGGGGCCCCGGCACACCCCCTGGACCGGTCCAGCCTCTCCAACGAGACAGAGGCCTTCCTGCTGGACACTTTGCAGGGCCAGAGAGAGGCCTTCCCTACAGCTGTTTCCCCCAAAAAGGAGCTGGGCTTGAGGCCCCTTCTGGGGTCCAGCCCCCTCCCGGCCCCCTTGGCAGTGGAGGAGCCCCCAGGAGTTGCCCAGGAGGACCAGGCCACAGGTAGGGCCCCTCAGGGCAAGCGTTTGGGCCGCAGGGTGAGGTTGTGTTTGTGTGTCTTTATATATATATATACAGTGTGTGTGTGTGGGGGGGGGGGGTCTGAGTTTCCTTGGCTTCCTCTCCCAGGGTCCTGCGGTGGGCTAGGAGCAGCCCATTTACAGTGTTCCCTCACTTATCACGGGTGTTACGTTCCAGGACCACCCGTGATAAGTGAAAATCTGCTACATAGGGATTGCCCCCCTCCTCACTCAATGGTGGTGGTGGTGGTAGTAATGCCGTGGAGGGGTGGCCCCCGAAGGCCGCAGCCTGCCTTCCTTGGAAGGCCTTGGCTCTTCTTCCCTCCGGGGGCTCCCTTAAGCGGGGGGCAGAGGCAGCAGAGGCCGAGGTGCTGATGGACTACGGTAGGCCTTCTTCCCACGGCAGGAGTCTATTATTATTATTTGCCATGCAGCTGTGGACAAGAGAAGTCTGCATAAGAACCCAGTGTAAGCCTGTAGGATCTATCTAGCAATATTAAATGACCACTCACAAGCCGGTTTTGCTTTGAAATGGATATATTGCTTGTATCTCTGCAGCAAAGAAAGACACTAGTGACTTTTTCCCACCACCACTTCCTTTTATACACCCTTCCTGCCCATTTTCTCCTCTTCTCAGTCTCCTTATTAAACTTGTTGTTTCACAAGTTCCAATACAAGGTTTCCAGTGCCCTCCCCTGACTTCAAAATGTCACAGAGAGAGAATTGATTCAGCCAGGATGTCATGGAGGGAATTTGTGATGTCTTCATTCCGTCAGAAATTGACTCCTGACACCCAGAAGCCCAGGCACGAATCAAAGAGCCATAGACGCATGAGTTGCAAGCTCATGGTGCGCAGGGGGCCATGGCTGGCTGCGTCTGCTGGGGAGGGGTCTGCAGGTCAGGGGCGGAGGAAGAAGAACCTGTGGAACGGCCTGCGCTCCCTCTTGCCTTGTCGGAACTGTTTACATGCATGCCCGAGGCGCCCTCTCCTCCCCACATACACCCTGCGCCCACGCCCAGTGGACTCAATGTGCACTCAGCCGGGGAAAGAGGCCTCGCTCACGTGGCGGGGATTACGGGCCGGCGGAGAGCACAACGGGCAAGCCCTGCCTCTCTTTAAGGGGGGATCAGAGAGGCACAAACACTCGCCCTCTCTTGCCAAGCCACAGAGACTCTCTCCTGATGTTTCGCCTGCACCTGTGGCCACGGGCACCTTCAGAGCACCCGGTAGTGGTCAAAGCAAGTGGAGTATGTGCACTACCTGTGGTTCCTTCCCAGCAGGTGCCCTTGCTATTGACAAGGTAATCCCCTCCCTTCCTCACCTGCTGATGGGTGGATCCCACTCCAACTCTTGCAAATCAGGCTTCCTCCTTCCACCCTTCGCACCTGTTCCGCATGCCAGGGTTCTTTGCTCCCACCCTGCACGTTATTCTTCCCTGGGTCAATGATGGACTCCCATCGGATCCTCTGAGGATTCCGTGAGATGCAGCGGAAACGGGGAGAGGAGAAAATGCTGCTCAAACACTGAGCCGTCAAAGGCTTTCATGCCCAGAAGCCCTGAGTTGCGTGTGTTCCAGCAGCATTCTCTCCTGGCGTTTCGCCTGCACCTGTGGCAAGCATCCTAAGAGGCTGGTTCAGAGGAAGCGAGGCAAGTGGGGTGTCTGTCTATCCATCTATCTGTGGCAGCAGCATTCTCTCCTGGGGTTTCGCCTGCACCTGTGGCAAGCATCCTCGGAGGCTGGTTCAGAGGAAGCGAGGCAAGTGGGGTGTCTGTCTATCCATCTATCTATCTGTGGAGAGATGTCCACAACCCGGATTCTGGCCATGAAAGACAGCTTATTGGAGAATACATTGTGCAGTTTATGACCCTTCTCCTCACCCACCACAATTCACATTATAAGTGCAGAACTATTGACATGCGCGCTGCTCGGCTGAATCCTGGGGGTGCCCCAAACAAGTCCCTGTGGAAACGACAGTCACAACACGCCCCCCTCCATTGGGAAAAGAGCGTAGAAGGAAAGAAGAAGGAAAGACGTTGGGGCTTGTCTTCTTCCCGTTCCCCAAAGCTTATCCGGCCAGCCTCTGATGGACCAAAACGGAGCCCGGCAGGCGGGGGGGGGGGGGGGGGGGGGGGGGGGGCTGAGAGGGGGCCCCGAGAAGAGGGGAGGGGAGGCCAAAGGGCTCAGGAGAGGCAGGCACGGCCCCGCCCCATGGCCCCCGTCGTCTGTCTTGGCAGGTGCCTTCCAACTCAACCAAAACAAACGTGGAAGAGTTCACGCCAAAGGAGTTTGGGCTCAAAGCCTGCCTGTTTCCCCCTGCAAGGCATGACCCCCTCCCCCCTTCCCTTCCCTCTTTGGTTCCAAATGCTGCGATGCAGGCACAGGGATCACCACATGTACGATTCGCAGTGACTACGACAGGAAAACACACACACACATATACACATACATACATGCATGCATACATACATATACACACATATACACAGACACACACATACATACATACATACACACACACACACATATACATGCATATATATACACATACATACAACACATACATACACACACATATATATACACACATACATACATATAGACACACACACACATATATACACATACATACACACACATACACACACACACATACACACACAGAGATATATACACACACATACATACATACACACATATACACATACATACACATACATACATACACACATATATATACACACATACATACATATACACATACATACATACACACAGAGATATATATACACACACACATATATACACATACATACACACATACACACACACACACATATATATATGTGTGTTAATTCATAGAGGGCAGATTGAATGAGAGGCTTCATGTTTCTAATTGTATAGTCATCTATACATACAAACATGCATACATACATACACATACATACATACACACACACACACACGTACATACATACATACACACACATATACACAGACATACACATACATACATACACACACACATATACATGCATATATATACACATACATACAACACATACATACACACACATATATATACACACATACATACATATAGACACACACACACATATATACACATACATACACACACATACACACACACACATACACACACAGAGATATATACACACACATACATACATACACACATATAYACATACATACACATACATACATACACACATATATATACACACATACATACATATACACATACATACATACACACAGAGATATATATACACACACACATATATACACATACATACACACATACACACACACACACATATATATATGTGTGTTAATTCATAGAGGGCAGATTGAATGAGAGGCTTCATGTTTCTAATTGTATAGTCATCTATACATACAAACATGCATACATACATACACATACATACATACATACACATACACACACACGTACATACATACATACACACACATAGATACACAGGAGCCCCCTGGCGGCGCAGTGGGTTAAAGCACTGAGCTGCTGAAGTTGCTGACCGAAAGGTTGCAGGTTCGAATCCGGGGATCAGGGATGAGCTCCCCCTGTTAACCCCAGCTTCTGCCAACCTAGCCGTTCGAAGACATGCAAATGCAAGTAGATCAATAGGTACTGCTCCGGTGGGAAGGTATCAGTGCTCCATGAAGTCATGCTAGCCACATGACCTTGGAGGTGTCTACGGACAACACTGGCTTAGAAATGTCAGGGGAAAACCTTTACCTTTACCTTATGTGTGTGTATACACACACACACACACACACACACACATATATACCTATACAGGGAGAGAGTTTTCTGTTGTTGTTGTTGTTGTTGTTGTTGTTGTTTTCCCTTCTTGTTTTTGCAATGATGGTGACCTGGGATAAATGGAAGCGCAGGAGTCCAGGCCGCCCCCAAGTTACGAACAAGGCTGGGTCGGAAGTTGCATTGGTTTGTGAGTCTAAACAGGGACATGTTTGAAGTGTACCTCCAGCTACACACACACACACTTTAGATTGCATAGGGACAGGTGAAGGGTTCAGGTGATTCCACCCCACTTTCTGCCCCAGTGAGGACTGGGCTTTGAGAACTTTGGCTTCCTGTGGAAACAAGAACTGGAGGGGGGGAAAGTGCCCCTCGCTTTCTGTGGCCTCGCCCTGTTCTTAACTAGGAGTCGGGTGTATGTCTAGTGTTTGTAACTTGGGGACTGTTTGTACCCCATGCTTCTCTCTGCAGGGAGCGTGCTGATGCGTATGTCTCGTGTGTCTCTTTCTTTTCCCTCGGCGGCAGCAGCAGCAGTATCAGCCTCCTTCCCGTCGGCAGGGGAAACCAACGGGCAAAGCCGGCACGTCGTCGTCACCGGCTCCCCAAAAACGCCGCCCTCTTCCCCCCTGGAGACCCCGGGACCGCCTTGCTTTCCTTCTGGGGGGGAAGCCCTCCTGCACGCGCCCCCAACGTGGAGGGACGTGGATTGGGAGATGCTCCGGAGCGGAGTGGCCTACCTGCCAGGTAAGGCGTGCTGGCGTTTAGTCCAGGCCCGGGCCAACTTTGGCCCTCCCTCCAGGTGTGTTGGACTTCAACTCCCACAATTCCCAGCAGACCCAGACCCACTCACCTTTTTGGCTGAGGGGCAGCAGCACAGACATGCCCGATAGGGAGGCGAGATAGGAAGCGAGGGAGGGAAGTAAATCGATAATAAGGAGACTTTATTTATATCCCGCCCTCCCTGCCCTCCCTGATTCCAGTCACAAAAAAGGCAAACATCCAATGCCCGAACATCAGAGTAAACATAAATTAAACTCCACCGCAGATAAAAACTAATTATTATTTAGCAAATTAGAATAAAACTTGCCCACAGGTGGACCTTCCAATCAGACCCCTCCTCCTCCTCCTCCTCCTCCTCCTCCTTCCTCCGCAGGCGGCAGGGACCGCTGTGGGCGGGCAGTGGTCATCCTCCAGACCAGGAGCGCCCTGTGGCCGGACCCTTCCTCCAGACAGGCCAGCGCACTGGTGCGCCTCCTCCTCTACCTGCGCAGCACACTCAGGTTTGCCGGGAGCCGAGGGAGTGCACGGGAGGGGGGCAGGGGGGCAGCAGGGCAGGCTGCTCACCCTCTTCCTCCTCCTCCTCTTCCTCCTCTGCTTGTCTCCAGGCCTGAGCTCCAGGCTCTGGGCCTCACGGTCCTGGTCGATGCCCGCCAATGCCCTCCGGCCCCGGCCCTCTTCACCACTCTGGCCACCCTGCAGGTGAGAAGGGGGGGGGGGGCTTGGCAGGGGATGATGGCCCCATCAGTGCTGGGGTGGTGGCAGGGTGAGATGTGGCCCACACAGGGCAAGGGGCGGCCGGGAGGGGATTCCTTCCTTTCTCTCTCCTTCTTTTCTTCCTCCTGTCCTTCCTTCCATCTTCCTCCCTTCCTCCTTCCTTCCTTCCTTCCTTCCTTCCTTCCTTCCTTCCTTCCTTCCTTCCTGGTCTGCTGGGGTGCCTTCTCTACCTCCCTTTGGCCTCCCATCAATTTAAATCCTTTTTTAAACTCCTGTAGTTTGTGAGTGTTGACTGCCCGCTTCCTCCGATCTGTCACAATCTGCTTTCTTCCCTCCCTCTTTCCTTCCTTCCTTCTTTCTTTCTTTCCTTCTTTCTTTCTCTCCCTCTTTCTCTCCTTCCTTCCTTCCTTTCCTTCCTTCCTTCCTTCCTTCCTTCCTTCCTTCCTTCCTTCCCTCCTTCCTTTCTTCCTTCCTTCCTCCCTTCTCTTTCCTTCCTTCCTTCTTCTTCTTCTTCCACTTCCTTCCTTCCTCTGTCCCTCCCTCCCTTCTTTCCTTCCTTCCTTCTTTCCTTCTTCCTTCCTTCCCCTCTTCCTTCTTCCTTCCTTCTTCTTCTCTTTCCTCCCTTCCTCCTCTTCATCTTTCCTTCCTTCCTTCCTTCCTTCTTCCTTCTTCCTTTCCTTTTTCCTTCTCTTTGCTCTGCTGGGGTGCCTTCTCTCCCTCCCTTTGGTTCTCCATCCTGCTAAATCCTTGTTGAACCTCCTCTAGTTTGTGAGTCTTGACCTTGTGGCTTCTTTGCAGGCGTCCGTCCCTGGCTGCGTCCGTGGGGTGCTCTGCCTGGCCGAGAAAGAGGCCGCCTTCCGGGTGGAGAGGCCACACACCTTGCAGGTAGGCCTGGGGGGCGGGCACAGAGGGGCTGCTCTGCTCTGCTCTGGGGGGGGGGGCACACGGGGGTCTTCCAGGGGTGCCAAGGCCAAACTCTTCCTTCCTTGGTTCTCCTCCAGTGCGAGCTGCTGACCTCCCTGAAGGCCCTGCACAGGCACATCGAGGCCGCGCAGCTTCCCCCGGAGCTGGACGGGACCCTCCCTTACTGCCACCAGGACTGGCTGCGCTTCCGCATGGTGAGCGGGTGGCCGAAAGAGCAGGACCCCCCCCTTCCCTGAAGCCCCCATCCTGATGGGCTTCTCCACAACAGAGCTGGGTCTGCCCAGAAGCCAAAGCCTCCAAAGTGGACATTGGTCCTGTCCCCAGTCTCCCCTCCCCAAGATGGGCCCTTTTGGGGTTCCCCATCCAAGCCCCCCCCCCTCTTCTTCTTCCAGCGCCTGGAGCAGCTGCTGCAGGGATGCCAAGGGGCCCGTGCCTTCCTGGAGGGGGCCGTCCGAGCCGTGGGGTCCGGTGGGTGGCCGGAGACGGCCGAGGTGAGTCTCTCCAACCGTCCCTGTCGTGCGAGGGCAGAAGGTGGTGGTGGGTGGGCAAGGGGTGGAAAGGCACAAACTGAGCCGGGAAGTTGTGTGTCCTGCACGGTGGGTGGAGGGTAGGCCGGTCCCACCACCCTCAGGCTCACGCTCTGCCCCATTCTGCTCTATGAGGAGAGGGCAGCCCATCAATGAAGTATTTATTATTGTTGTTATTGTTATTATTCTGGCACAAAGCCAGGCGAGATTAGTGTCACCTGGAGCCACGAGTATCATGCAAGGGCAGAAGGTGGTGGTGGGCGGGGGGGGGGGGGGGGTGGGGGGGCACTTCCGGTCAGTTGGGGAACTGGACTTGCATGGGGATGCATGTTGACCTTGCGTGTGCCCACAGGAGGCAGAGGCGCTTCTGCAGAGGGACCGGCAGCTGATGCGGACGGTGCTGGAGGACGCCCGCCTGGTCCGGCTGCAGCAAGAGGGGGGGGCCCTGCTGGCCCGGCTCCGGAAGGAGGACTCCCCCGTGGCACTCGTCCCGGACTTCCCGTGAGTCGCCTCCTGGCCTTGAAGGGCTTCTCATGCCACCGCTCTGGGTCTCAAAATCGGGGGGGGGGGGGAATCAACATAATAATAATAATAATAATAATAATAATAATAATAATAATAGTGAAACAGCTGGAAAAGCTGACAAGATATGAGGACCCAAAATCCCAGATTCAGGAAGCCAAAAGCGTGTTGCTTAAAGCCAAGTTAATCCATAGAACTTTGCACGGAAAGAGCCACGTTGAACTGACAATTCCCGTTTGTCAGCCAGAAGGCTAAATACCCTTTGCAGTCATGAACGCATTGCGATGACCCTTGGCCGATGGAGCAACAGCACCCCCTGTGGCTGGAATCGAGACAACCTCCAGGACGCCGAAGTTGGGAAACATGCTGACATATACCTCTATCTGTTGTGTGTCCTGTCTGTTTAAGGGCATTGAATGTTTGCCGTGTATGTCCTTCCGTGATCCGCCCTGAATCCCCTTTGGGGTGAGAAGGAAGGGCGGAATATAAATGCTGCAAGTAAACAACTAAATATTACTTGGGCGTTTCAGCCGGCACACTTTGCTGCATCCAGCGCCGGCCAGGAAGGGAAGGGCAGCGGCGGGGCAGGAGGGTGAAGGTCGACGCCATGGGGGCAATAATAATAATAATAATAATAATAATAATAATAATAAACTTTATTTATACCCCGCCACCATCTCCCCAAGGAGACTCGGGACGGCTTACTTGAGGCCAAGCCCAACAACACATCAGCAAATAAAACAGTACAATTAATATAACTTACTTATAAACAATAACAACGACCCTCTTTCTGCCTCAAGGTGCACTTCCTGCCAGAGGCTCCTTCCCCCTCCCTCCCCAAGTGTTGTTGTTGTTGTTTATTTATTTACAACATTGATATGTTGACCTTCTCACCAACTTCCAATTTGGAGGACGCGCGCTCCAGTGGCAAAAAACGTTGAGGGGTGCAAAATGTCAAAATGTGCTCCTATTCACCAAAGGCGCAGCGGAAGAGCCAGGTTTTAAGGTTCTTTTCGAACGTCTCTATTATTATTATTATTATTATTATTATTATTATTATTATTATTATTATTATTAAGGCGCAGCGGAAGAGCCAGGTTTTAAGGTTCTTTTCGAACATCTGTATTATTATTAGTAGTAGTATTAGTATTAGTATTATTATTATATATATTCCCTTCCAGGTTGGTGCTGGATGCGGCCACTGCCCTGTACAACCAGGTGGACGAGGGCATCCATCAGCTGGTGCTGGCCTCCAACCAGCGCATCCGGGTCCTGGAGCTGGTCAGGGACCTGCCGGCCTTTGAGGAGGCCTTTCGGGAGGTGCGTGCGGGGTGGCCTTCCTGCTTTGTGGGGGGGGGGCATGGGGGGCACTAACATCCTTCCCGGGAAAGGAGGAGGAGGAGTCCAGGGCTCCTGCCACACCGCTTGACCATCCACTGGCACTGGCTCCCTTGTCCCTCTGCAGGTCAGCGGCTGGATCGAGAACGTGGGCCGGACGCGGCTGGTGGAGCTGGGAGAGCTGGGCGCTTCCTCGGAGGCCCTCCTCCGGGCGCAGAGGCAGTTCCAGGACTTTGAGCTGGTGGCCGGTGTAAGTCTTGCCTCTGGCTCTGAGGTTGCCACTTTCAGGCTGACGAGGCCTTTCTCGCTCAGGGTCCAGAGCCTGCTTTCTTCTCCTGCGTCTTCCGTAAGGCATCTGGAGGTCAGCTGTGCCAAGGTGATCCTTCCCAGATCCCACAAGCAGAAGGACCTGAAGTGCCGAGAAGAAGGTTCTCCGCCAGCTTGGCGGGCGTTGAGCTTAGCCTTTTTGGTCTTCTTTTTCGTCGGGCCCACAGCTTGTGTAGCTGCCGAAGGAGGTAGGGACGACCCTCTTGATAGACCCGAGGGCCTTGGAAGGTGCTGCGGAGGGATCGCACGCTTTTGTGGCAGGTGCCCCTCTCCCAGGCAAAGGACACGAAGGGAATGCCCATCGCTATCAGGATAGTTATTGGGGCAATTATCGCAACGTTTAAAGGAAGTCGTTGCCAACATATTATCACACACAGACGGGCAAATACTTAGGCGGGTCAAGAGCAGTCCGCGAAAGTCAGGCAGTGCAGGTCAACACACAAATGTCAGAAAAGGCAAACAGTCCAGGTCAAAGCACATAAATCAGGAAAAATAGGCAGTCCAAGTTGAAATACAATAGTAAAAATATGCTCGTCAGGACGAAGGTTCTCTATCTAGCGGATGTTAAAGGCGGCGGATGAAGGGAACTGAGGGCAGTAGCCCCGCCCACAGGCTACTTATACCGAGAGGGGAAGGTGGGCGGAGCTTCCGCCAAAATGTTTTTTATAAAATGTCTAGAACATTACATTTTTATTTGTATAGATGCACAATGTTCGTCTGATGTGAGACTGCTGTTTTGTTTTGGACTTTCCAGAGACTTGAGTATTGTGTCTGCCTTAAGACTCCTTTGCTTTCTTTTACATTATACAACTGCATGTGCCGTTCTCTTGTCTTTTGCTGAAGTAAAAGCATTTTTCATTTACTTTCAACATGATATTAAGGCTGGGTTGTTTTAGGTTTTTTTGGGCTCTAGGGCCATGTTCTAGAGGCATTCTCTCCTGACGTTTCGCCTGCATCTATGGCAAGCAGCCTCAGAGGTAGTGAGGTCTGTTGGAACTAGGAAAAAGGGTTTCTATATCTGTGGAATAATGTTCAGGGTGGGACAAAGGACTCTTGTCTGCTGAAGCTAGGTAGGAATGTTTCAACTGAGCACCTTGATTAGCATTTGATGGCCTGGCAGTGCCTGGGGCAATCTTTTGTTGAGAGGTGATTAGGTGTCCCTGATTTTTTTTCCCCTCTCTGTTGTCTTGGTATTAAGGCTGTTCTTGAGGGGGAAATCAGGGGCACTTCCTCTGATCCGACCACCTTTCCTCCCTTTCCTGCTTCTTCTCCTTCCAGGAATACATCCGGAAGGGCTGGGAAGCCCTGCGGAAGACGGGATGGGAGGAGTTCTCTTCCTCTTCCTCCCCCTCCTCGTCCGGGGAGCTTCCCGCGGGAACCGTGGCCCATCTCCAGGGTGCCAACCAACTGCTGCGGAGCTTCTGCCACCAACTGGAGGGCGGCAGGAACCGGCTGGAGGAGGCCACACATCTCTATGCGTTCCTGGACCAGGTGAGGAAGTAGCCCACCAATCCCCGCCCAGAATTCCGTTCCCGCCCCCTTTGGAAGCCGTTTCCAGCATGGGTGGGCCGGGATGCACACCTGCGCATCCCCTCCATGCCCGGGTCACACTCACTCATGCATACATTATCATCTCTGCTATTATTACTATTATTATTATTATTGACACAAAAGCAGAGTATGTCACAGCAAACGAGATCCATATGCTGGAATTCGTATCACAGAATTATTATTATTATTATTATTATTATTATTATTGACACAAAAGCGCAGTATGTCACAGCAAACGAGATCCATATGCTGGAATTCGTATCACAGAATTATTATTATTATTATTATTGACACAAAAGCGCAGTATGTCACAGCAAACGAGATCCATATGCTGGAATTCATATCACAAAATTATTATTATTATTATTATTATTATTATTGACAATAATAATAATAACTCTTGACACAATAAATAAATAAATATTATTATTATTATTATTATTATTATTGACACAAAAGCAGAGTATGTCACAGCAAACGAGATCTATATGCTGGATTTCATATCACAAAATTATTATTATTATTATTATTATTATTATTATTATTATTGACAATAATAATAATAATAACTCTTGACACGATAAATAAATATTATTATTATTATTATTATTATTATTATTATTGACACAAAAGCACAGTATGTCACAGCAAACGAGATCTATATGCTGGAATTCGTATCACAAAATTATTATTATTATTATTATTATTGACAATAATAATAATAATAACTCTTGACACGATAAATAAATAAATATTATTATTATTGACACAAAAGCACAGTATGTCACAGCAAACGGGATCTATATGCTGGAATTCGTATCACAAAATTATTATTATTATTATTATTATTGACACAAAAGCACAGTATGTCACAGCAAACGGGATCTATATGCTGGATTTCGTATCACAAAATTATTATTATTATTATTGACAATAATAATAATAACTCTTGACATGATAAATAAATAATAATAATAATTATAATAATTATTATTATTATTATTGACACAAAAGCACAGTACGTCACAGCAGACGAGATCTATAATGCCGGATGTAGAGTAGGTCATGGGGGCTCTGTGTGCCAAGTTTGATCTTGATCGGTCATTGGATGAGGATCACAGCGGTCTCAGAAAGTGAGTGATGGTACTGCAAGTCCCATCATCCATGGTCCATCCTCCTCCAAACTGCAGTAGGATGTAGAGTGGGTCTTGTGGGCTCTGTGTGCCAAGTTTGGTCTGTATTGGTAATTTTCCGACACAGCCTCAGGCCTTTTCCTCTCCTCTGTCACCTCAGAATCTTGGAGTTTTGAGGCTGGCCAATCAGAGACCATATGCAAATTGTACCACAGTGGCAGCCAATCAGAACGCTGCCACATACACCTCCCTCCCGTCCTCCCTCCACATACGAACACTGACTTTTATTATATACATAGATAGATGTAAGGATGTGTTGACGTCCTTACTCAAAAGAACCACTGTCTTTGGTAATGTAAACATGTTGTTTCCCACCAAGCGTTCAGGAGTTCATCATTGTCACAGTTCTCATCAGTAACTTTTAATTACAGTTCAGCAGTGTACTTCAATATTTTTTTTTTAAAATAATTTGTATTGAAATATTTGAAAATAACAGCGAAAGAGGGTGAATATTATAGAAGGGGATAGCAAAGTAGGAAAAAATAGAAAATAGAAAAACCCCACCTCTCCCCCAAGTCCAAAAAGAAGAAAAGGAAAATCAAAAATCGCAAGTAAAAAAAAGAAAAAAAAAATAACTATGAAACACAAAAGATGCTAAAAATAAAAAGCTAGAATGGTGAAAAACAAAAATTAAAAAAAAGAAAAAGAAAAAAATGAGATAAAAATTGACTTCCATCTCTCCATCAGGTGTTGTGTCCTTGATAATGTTCCCAATATAACCACATCAAAATATTCCTCTTATTTACTCTTCTCGTAGTTTTCATATAGAGTCCAATCTGTCCTCTTTATCGGATTCCCGGTATTCTTTTTCAAGAAAAAAAGTTAGTTCATCCATTTCTCTTTTTTCTCTTACTTTCCCTAACCATTCTTCAATGGTAGGGATATCTTCCTGCTTCCAAAGTTTAGCCAAAGATATTCTCGCCGCCGTCGTGATATAAGTAAATAGTCTATCTTCGTTATCATCTAATTGTAATTCCAAATCAGTAAAACCTAATAGATAGTATTCTGGTTTCTTCTTAAATACTCTCTTTGGGATTTTTTGTGTCTCATCATGAACCATCTGCCAGTATTTCTCTGTTTCTTTACATGTCCACCACATGTGATAGAAAGTGCCTATTTCAGTGGTTCTCAACCTTCCTAATGCTGTGATGACCCCTTAATACGGTTCCTCATGTAGTGGTGACCCCCAACCATACAATTATTTTTGTTGCTACTCCATAACTGTAATTTTGCTACTGTTATGAAATGTAATGTAAATATCTGATTTGCAGGATGTATTTTCATTCACTGGACCAAATTTGGCACAAATGCCCGATATGCCCAAATTTGAATACTGGTGGGGTTGGGGGGGGGGGTTGATTTTGTTATTTGGGAGTTGTAGTTGCTGGGATTTATAGTTAACCTACAATCAAAGGTCGTTCTGAACCTCACCTACAATAGAATGGGGCCAGACTTCCCACATAGAACCCACATGACAAACAGAAAATACTGTGTTTTCTGATGGTCCTTGGCGACCCCTCTGACACCCCCGCATGACCCCCCCTAGGGGTCCCGACCCCCAGGTTGAGAAACACTGGCCTATTTGATGACAACCCTTCCAGCATTTATCAGAAGAGTTTTTGTTCATTAGAGAGAGCCACTGTTTTGATGTCCTTACTCAAAAGAGCCACTGTCTTTGGTAATGTAAACATGTTGTTTCCCACCAAGCCTTCAGAAGTTCATCGTTGTCACAGTTCTCACCAGCAACTTTTACTTACAGTTCAGAAGTGTACTTCCATATTTTAGAATAGTGTCTCCGGCCCAATTAGGCTCGATTCATTCCCCTTTCATATAATTTCATTCAAATTATACGCAATGTCTCGGTCACACGAGCGTCCTCCCTTCTCCCGCAGGCGCAGTCCTGGGCTGCGGAGGGGACGAGGCTGCTGTCCGGCCTGGGCCCGGAGGAGGGCTCCACCCACACCGAAAGCAAACCCAAGGCGGCCTTGGCCTGGCTGGAGAGCGCCCGCGGGTTCAGCGAGGCGCAGTTCCAGGAGACGAAGGAGGCGGCGCTGCGGCTGAAGAGCGGGGCGGCGCTGCAGCGGTGGCACCGAGCGTGGGCCCAGTGCCAGGAGGCCAGGCAGGGCCTGGGGAGGAAGGTGGAGGTTGCGCTCAGTGCCACCGCCAAGCCTTTGCGGCCACATTGGGCCCCGCCACAGGAGTCAGCTGCCGGGGGCCCCTCCCAGGCCTCTCCCAGCCCCGATGGTGTTGCCCTTGAGGTGGAAGTGGCCCCCGCGCACACCCGGCGCATCCTGCGCAAGGCCCAAAGCTTTGAGCTTGGCGGTTCATTAGAGGGCCTGCGCCCCGGCTGCCAGCGCACCTTGAGCGAGCCAGCTCCCTTCGGGCACCACCACCACCACCACCACCACCACCGCGGGGTCTTCATCCGGGGCCTGGAGGTCAGCAGCACGGAGCTGGCCGGGAGGGCCGGAGGGGCCCCACAGGCTCTCGCACCTCCCGCTTGGGGACCATCCTGCGCACAGGAGCAACACAGGAGCAGCGGCCCCAACTTGTTGGTGGAGGAGGAGGAGGAGGAGGAAGAGGCCAAGGGCTGGAGCCGGTAGGCCGGGATGGGGCCCCAGGGGTCTTAGCGGGGTGGGTGAGTTATTATTACTAGTCAAGGCCCGGTATCTGTCTCGTTTGTTTGGTTCGTGTTTTCGTTTTGATCTCTCCATTTGGATGGCACAGAATGGGAAGGCCCCTCCGGGAACGAAAACACACTCAATACGAAAGGCAGGCGGGAGTATGCTTTGGATTGCGGAGGAAAGCCACCAACAGCAAACCTCCATTTTTCCTTTTCCTTCCTTCCTTCCTTGCATCCTTCCTTCATTTCTTCTTTTCTTCCTCCTTTCCTTTTCCTTTCTCCTTTACATCCTCCTTCCTTCCTTCGCTCCCTTTCTTCCATCCTTTGTTCCTTCTTCTCTTCTTCCCTTCCTCCTTTCCTTCCTTCCTTCCTTCTTTCCATCCTTCATTTCTTCTTTGCATCCTTCCTTTATTTCTTCTCTTCTTCCCTTCCTCCTTTCCTTTTCCTCCCTCCCTCCTTTACTTCCTCCCTTCCTCCCTCACTCCCTTTCTTCCATCCTTTGTTCCTTCTTCTCTTCTTCCCTTCCTCCTTTCCTTCCTTCCTTCTTTCCATCCTTCATTTCTTCTTCTCTTCTTCCCTTCCTCCTTTCTTTTTCCTTCCTCCCTCCTTTACTTCTTCCTTCCCTCGCTTCCTTCCATCCTTTGTTCCTTCTTCTCTTCTTCCCTTCCTCCTTTCCTTCCTTCCTTCCTTCTTTCCATCCTTCCTTCATTTCTTCTTCCCTTCCTCCTTTCCTTTTTCTTCCTCCTTTACTTCCTCCTTCCTTCCCTCACTTCCTTCTATCCTTTGTTCCTTCTTCTCTCTTCCCTTCCTCCTTTCCTTTTCCTCCATTTCGTCTTTTCTTCTTCCCTTCTTCCTTTCCTTTTCCTTCCTCCGTCCTTTACTTCTTCCCTCCCTCACTTCCATCCTTTGTTCCTTCTTCTCTTCCTCCCTCCCTCCCTCCCTTCCTTCCTTCCTTCCTTCTTTTCTTCTTCCCTTCCTCCTTTCCTTTTCCTTCCTCCTTCACTTCCTCCTTCCTTCCCTCACTCCCTTCCATCCTTTGTTCCTTCTCTTCTTCCCTTCCTTCCTTCCATCCATCCTTCCTTCCTTCATTTCTTCTTCTCTTCTTCCCTTCCTCCTTTCCTTTTCCTTCCTTCCTCCTTTACTTCCTCCTTCCTTTTTCTTCCTTCCTTCCTTCCTTCCTTCCTTCCCTCTCTCCCTTCTTTCCATCCTTTGTTCCTTCCTCCCTCCCCCTCCCTCCCTTCCTTTCTTCCTTCCTTTCTTCTTCTCTTCTTCCCTTCCTCCTTTCCTTTTCCTTCCTCCTTTGCTTCCTCCTTCCTTCCCTTTCTCCCTTCTTTCCATCCTTTGTTCCTTCTTCTCCTCTTCCCTTCCTCCCTTCCTTCCTTCCCTCTCCTCTTCTGTGACTCAGGCTGAAGAACATTGTGGAGGAGATGGTGAGGACGGAGCAGGAGTACGTGCGCTCCTTGCGCTACATCATGGAGAGCTACTTCCCGGAGATGGAGCGCGGGGACCTTCCCCAGGAGCTGCGGGGCAAGCGCAGCGTGGTGTTCGGCAACCTGGAGAAGCTCCACGGCTTCCACAGCCAGTACTTCCTGCGCGAGCTGGAGAGCTGCTGCGCCCACCCGCTGCGCGTCAGCCACTGCTTCCTCAGACACGTAAGACGGCTCCCTTGCGCCCCTGGGAAGGCTGCTCTTCCCAACACCCCCGGCTCAGCCCCGGTTGCTTCTTCTTCTTCTTCTTCGTCTTCCCTTTTGCAGAAAGACCAGTTTGGGATGTACGCGCTCTACAGCAAGAACAAGCCCAAGTCGGATGCCCTCCTGGCCGGCCGAGGGAACGCCTTCTTCAAGGTGAGCTGGTCCCGAATACTGTTTTGAGCCTGGAACACGCTCTTGAATGCGCTTCCAGTGGGACAGAATGCACCGGGCGCTCTCTCTCAGAGAAGGAAGCAGGCTCACTGGCTCCATCCTGGATTTTGGATTCGCTCTACTGGTTACTAGGGCTGGGCAACCACGGAAAAAAATGTTTCTAAACTCGATTCGTTTTTAGGGGGTTTTGCGTTTCGATTTTTAAAAGAATTCCGAAATTTTTCTTTAAAAAAGTTCGAAATTTACGAAATTTCGGAAATTACGAAACAATTACGAATCGATTCATTAATGGAGGACGCGACGGCGCAATACGCTAAAAAACCTCCAAATGGGACAGGGGGAACTTCTGAAGCTTCCCTCTCCCTCTGTTGTTGACTGTTGTGATATTATAATTTTTTTTTCACTAATTAAACATGCACCAGACATGCGGAAATAATAACGAAACGATTTCGAAACAATTACGAAACAATTATGAAATAATTACGAAACGAATTGAAAAATTCGTTTCGATTTTTAGTTGCTCCTGAATGGTTCAATATCACTTCGTTATCAAAAAAAATAACGAATTAATAACGAATTACGAAATTAACGAACGAAACCGCCCAGCCCTACTGGTTACACATTCACGTTGACTCAGCGTTCACTCCACATCCATTCACCCACATGCGTACTCACCACCTTCTTCATTCAGGCTGCGCATTCCCCACACATCCGCCACACTTTTCCAAGAAGATAGTCTCTCTTTAGCAGACTTTCCTATTGTTGACCTGAATTGACTGACAATTTGTTACTCATTTGTTAATCATTATCATTATTATTATTATTATTACTTTTCCTTGTGAGCTGCTTCGAGTCCCCAAATGGAGAAAAAAAAGCGGGATATCAATAAACATAATAATAATAATAATAATCATAATAATCATAATATTTTATTTATACCCCGCCACCATCTCCCCAAGGGGACTCTTTAGCAGACTTTCCTATTGTTCTGAATTGATTGACAATTTGTTACTCAGCTGAGACTTGCAGAAACTCCATCCACACAACAAGATGAGTCCAAAATAAAAAAATATTATTTTTAAATATTTTAATTGAAATTTCCATTTTATATATATATATATATATATATATATATATATATATTGTCGAAGGCTTTCATGGCCGGAATCACTGGGTTGTTGTAGGCTTTTTCGGGCTGTATGGCCATGGTCTAGAGGCATTCTCTCCTGACATTTCGCCTGCATCTATGGCAAGCATCCTCAGAGGTAGTGAGGTCTGTTGGAACTATAAACCCTTAGCCAGACACCTCAATGGTACAATTTCATTCAACCCACACATCAGAAGTTGCCCACTAGCTGCTGGGGGGGGGGGGGCTTGTGGGGCCGGGGGGGGAGGGGAACGGAACGGCCGGCCGCTCTCTGACCCGGTCCCTCTCAGTCCAAGCAGGTGCAGCTGGGGGACAAGATGGACCTGGCCTCCTACCTGCTGAAGCCCATCCAGCGCATGAGCAAGTATGCGCTGCTGCTCAAGGACCTGCTCCAGCAGTGCGCCGAGGGCCAGGAGCAGGAGCGGGCCGATCTGCGGGCCGCCCAGGAAATGGTGCGCTTCCAGCTGCGGCATGGCAACGACCTCCTGGCCATGGACGCCATCCGCGAGTGTGACGTACGCACGTTTGCATGGAGGGCGGTGGAGGGGAGGGGGAAGGGAAGGGGGCCGGGGACCCCTTTGGATAGCCTCTTGCGTCTGTGTCCAGAATGGCCAGTCTCAGGCCTGGTCCCGGAGGTGGACTTCAATGGGGCAGCCACAAAACACAAGCAGCAGGAGGCAGAGTTGCCCACTAGCTGCTGGGCAACTAGATGGGTAGGTAGGTAGGTGGGTGGGTAGGTAGGTGTAGGATGGGTAGGTAGGTAGGTGGGTGGGTAGGTAGGTGTAGGATGGGTAGGTAGGTGGGTAGGTAGGTGGGTAGGTAAGTGGGTGGGTAGGTAGGTGTAGGATGGGTAGGTGGGTAGGTAAGTGGGTAGGTAGGTGTAGGATGAGTAGGTAGGGTGGTGGGTAGGTAGGTAGGTGTAGGATGGGTAGGTAGGTAGGTGGGTACGTGGGTAGGTAGGTGGGTAGGTAGGTAGGTGTAGGATGGGTAGGTGGGTAGGTAGGTGTAGGATGGGTAGGCAGGTGGGTGGGTAGGTAGGTGTAGGATGGGTAGGTAGGTAGGTGGGTAGGTCGGTGGGTAGGTAGGTAGGTAGGTGGGTAGGTAGGTAGGTGTAGGATGGGTAGGTAGGTGTAGGCCTCTGGCTGGTGACACTTTATTGCTTGGCCATTGGTCATATTTAGGCCCTCACTTTCAATGATTTTTCCCTTCTTCTGGCCCATGTCGAACATTTATCCAAACCAAACTCCATGTTGATATCCGTGCTAAAGATTCGGACAGTGTTGGTCAGATTTCAGTTTCGGTTTTCCCACACAGCTTCAGGTCATCCATGTACAGCAGATGTGAAATTTTGTGAGATCTCTGAGACGTTTGATAGCCGAGGTTTGTTTTTTGTAAGATTGTTGACAGAGGGATCATGGCAATGATGAAAAGCAGTGGGGACAATGAGTCTCCCTGGAAAATTCCTCTTCTGATATTGACAAGTCCATAGTTTTCATTTCCAACAAACAGTTCAGTTTTCCAGTGCTTCATCATATTTTCAATAAAAGTGCCAACGTTTTTACAAATCCCGATGGTGTCTAGGCACTTGATGATCCAACTGTGTGGGAGTGAGTCAAAGGTTTTTTTAGTATTATTATTATTATTATTATTATTATTATTATTTGCTTAGGAGGTCTTTGGAGGGGGGGCTCTTAAAGGGAGAGGGTCTAATTAAGGTTTCCTCCCACAGAAAGCTATACAAAAAGGAACTAAACCCATTCTAAATAAAGGGACAACTGAGGCTCAAGACAGAAAGCAGTAAAGGCCTCTGTGGGGGCGTCACACTCCCTGCCTAAAACTTCTTATAGAAGTTTGACCTCCATTAATCCCCTCACTAATGCTGACACAAACATGCATCCCACTCAGCCTCGCTTCCCACTTGCATTTGCCGGCTTCCCCGCCCTGCTTTCCGTAACGCCGCCGCCTGCCTCTCCCTCCTCCGTTGCAGGTGAACCTGAAGGAGCAGGGCCAGCTGGTGCGCCAGGATGAGTTCAGCATCTGCCTGGGTCGCAGGAAGTGCCAGCGCCACGTCTTCCTCTTTGAGGACCTGATCCTCTTCAGCAAGCCCAAGCGCATGGAGGGCAGCTTGGACATCTACGTCTATAAGCGCTCCTTCAAGGCAAGAGGGGGGCTGAGCGCAGAGAGGGGAGGGGTCCCTAGCCCTTCGCAGCTGGTGGCAACCTTTCTCTCCCTCTCCCCCCCTCCTTCCTTGCAGACGGCGGATATCGGCCTGACGGAGAACTCGGGCGAGAGCGGCCTGCGCTTTGAGATCTGGTTCCGGAGGCGGAAGTCCAGCGACACCTTCGTCCTGCAGGCCGGCAGCCCGGAGATCAAGCAGGCCTGGACCAGGGACATTACACGGATCCTGTGGGAGCAGGCCGCCCGCAACAAAGGTGCGCCTTTCCCAGCGGCCCCCGGGAAGGCCATTGGCCCCCATCTGGGAGCATGACTGCGTAGCCCTGACCGCCCTACCACCCCCCTTCTCCCTTCCCAGAAATCCGGATGCAGGAAATGGTCTCCATGGGGGTGGGCAACAAGCCCTTCCTGGACATCCAGCCCAGCGAAGCCGCCATCCAGGACCGCGCCATCGACTACATCATGAAGGGCCGAGGTGAGCGTAGCCCCGCCCCCTCATCCTTCCCTCTGGCTTTGGGGTGCTTTGATTGCGCTTATGGCAGAAGGGGCTGGACTAGATGTCCCAACTCTTGGAGCTGACCTTTTGGGTGTCCCTTGTGCAGGAGCCAGGACCCGCGCCTCCATCGCCGTCTCGGTCTTTGACCACAGCGCGCCCTATAAGAGGCCCCAGGCCCCGCACCCTTTGGGCGGCCCCGCCTTGTCCCCCTCCTCATCCTCTTCCTCCTCGGTGCTGGGGCCCCTCAACCTGCACATGTACCTGGACCGGGCCCAGCTGCCCCACCTCTTGGCCCACAGCCGCCCCTTCGACGCCAGGGCCCCCTGTTTGGAGGAGGACGAGGCCGAGGCCGAGACCAGCAGCCAGCCTTCCATGAGTAAGTGTGCGGGCACCCCACGCTTGCCGTTGGGCCGTTCGGGATCCTGTGTCACCCAGGGGAAAAATCAAGGGTTAAAGTGGGTGTAGAGGGTTCTTTTGGAGGCCAGTTTGGGTGGGGGGGGGCACCCCGAACCCCTTGCTGTTCCCCTTTTTCTTGGATGCGCCCTGTGGCTCCTGGGAATGTGCCCCACCCTCCCCCCCAAATCATGTCCCTGGTTGTTGTCTTTGGGGGGATCAATGGGAGGGAGCCTTCTCTGCTCCGTGGGGCTCATCTCCCGTAACGCCTGCTCTTCCTCTGCAGCGACAGAGAGCTCCGGCTCCTCCTCGCTGGGCCCTCCGTCCGCCAGTGGCTCCAGCGGCTCCGACAGCGGCTGCTGCGCTTCCGCCCCCTCCCAGGAGAGTGGCCTCGAGGGCCCCACCACCGGACCCCGCTTCCCCCAGCAACCACCTCCGGGCCAGCCCCCCCGCCTCAAGAGCCAGTATGTCTCTGCGGTAAGTGCTCCAAAGAGACCCCAACATGCCCCCCTCTTGTGGGCGCAAGTCAGGCGCCGTTGGGTTGGGTGAGTCATTCCTGTTCCCTTCCAGTTTCCTCTGTGCTCCGTTTTGTCCACCCTCCATATGAGGTGCAAGGCAGGTGAGTCGTACCTGTTCCCTTCCAGTTTCCTCCTTCTCCGTTGCCTCTCGTGAGTCCCCTGCGGCGCTCTGTGTTGTCCAGCAGAGACTGGCAGGATGAGCTTTAGAGCAGGTACGGGCAAACTTGGGCCCTCCCTCCAGGTGTTTTGGACTTCACCTCTCAACATGGCTGTTAGGAATGCTGGGAGTTGCAGCCCAAAACACCTGGAGGGTGGGCCCAAGTTTTGGCATCAAGGCACGGGACCGTTGACCCAGAAATGACTTTGTTTTGCAGGTCTGAAGGATAGCGGCCTCTCAGAGGCTCCGGAGGAGCGGTCGTCCAGCTGCCCACTTGACCCCGTTGACCATTGGGTACCTGATGTGTGCAGTGGGGGGTGTCTCCCAGGACTGATACATACCCCTTCTATGGGGGGGGGCACTGGGCAGAAGGAGGGGGCTCCGGGCGGGACAGAGACCTCCCTCCAAAGAACCGCCAACGGCCTCCCTCCCTTTGTTGTTGTTCTCGTTCCACAAGTTGCACATGTTCCAAGTGTCCTAAGCACAGAAGGAAGTATTTATTTTCAGGGCGCGGACCCGCCGTGTTCTCTGCCCGCTGAACCTCGTTCTCCAGGCCAGTTCTCTTTGTTTCGGGGGCCTCATAATGCATTGCCTTGTCCTCCAATTACGGCTCCCTCCCTTCGTTAGCGGATTCCTCCGTGCCAGGGTGACCTGCTCTCCTTGGCTCTCTGCCTGCAGATGGCCAACCCTGCAGCCTCGGCCTGCGCTCCTCTCCGCCAAATGCCCATCGTTGGCCCCTCGCGTGGCCCTCGTTTTGTACACTTACTTAATACGCCGGGATTTTCTCTCCCAGCGGCCTCGCCTTTCTTGTAAGAATTTGACACCTTAGAGCTGTACGATTCTGCCTTTTGGGACGCGTGAAGGTGGTGGACGGGACCCGCCCCCCCACACACACACACACGAACCCCCCCCCCCCCCTCAGGGGAGGCAGGTGTTTTAAACAGTTTGGTTTAATAAAAGAGATTTCTTCTTTTCACCTTCGGGTCATCTCAAATATTTTATTCCGAGCTCTGCAAATACTTCCCGATGACGAAATGAGAGAGCGATTTGAAATACCCCCTTTTCACCAGGAGCTCCAGGCAGGAACTGTACTTCCGGGCAAACGGCAGGGAAAACTGGAAGGGAAACACACACCCAGGCAAGCGGTGGTGGGTCTTGGGGGGCCGAGCGGCTCTGGGCCTGCCCCCCCCCCTTTGCTGGCTGATCTTTGGCCTTTGGAGCCAAACACCCCCTCTGCTACCCCCCCCCCGAAATCCCAACCCTAAGAGAGGCGGGCGGGCAAGCGGTGTATTGCTTTGGCGGGACCCTCTTCGGCAGGAGGAATGGTGCCACCCCCACGGACTCACCTCGACCCACTTGGCCAGCCTCTCGCAGGCGCCGCTGCCGGCCTTGAAGGGGGGCAAGCGCAGCAGGTCGGACGCAAACTCCCCGGCCGAGATCTGCAGGCCCTGCGAGGGAAGAAGAGGGAGGGGCTCCAGCACGGGGAGGGGGGCCAAAGACGACCCCCAAGTGCCTCCCAGGAGGAGCGCCCAGCCTGGACTGAGAGGGGCAGCCCAAGCCAGGGGAGACACCGCCCTCCTCCTCCTCCTGCTCTTCCTCTTCCTTCTATCCTCCACTTCTCTTCCTCCTCCTCTTCTTCCTCATCTTCTCCTCTATTCTTCTCCACTTCCTCCTTCTCCTCTCCTTCTTCTCCCCTTTCCCCTTCTCTTCTCCTCTCTCTCCCCTTCCCACCTCCTTCTCTTCCTCCACCTCTTCCTCCTTCTCCTCTTCCTCCTCCTCTTTTTCCTCATCTACATCTTCCTCCTCTCCTCGCCTTTCTCCTCCTCACCCTCCTCCTCTTCTGCTTCCTTTTTCCTCTTCTCCTTCCTCCTCTTCCTCCACCTCTTCTTCCTCCTCTTCCTCGTCTACACCTTCCTCCTCCTCCTCACCCTCCTCCTCTTCTTTTCTGCCTTCACTTCTCCTTCTTACTCCCCTTCCCACCTCCTACTCTTCCTCCACCTCTTCCTCCTTCTCCTCCCTCTCCTGCTCTTCTGCTTTCTCTTTTTCCTCTTCTCCTTCCACTCTTTCCTCCCCCTTTCCTTCCTCTTCTTCCTCCGCCTCTTCCTCCTTCTCCTCTTCTTCCTCCTCTTCCTCATCTACATCTTCCCTCTTCTCCTCACCCTCCTCCTCTTCTTTTCCGCCTTCTCTTCTCCTGCTTACTCCCCTTCCCTCCTCTTCCTCCACCTCCTCCTCCTCTTCCACCTTCTCTTCTTCCTCTTTTCCATCTTCCTCCTTCTCTTCCTCCTTCTCCTCTTCTTCCTCCTCTTCTTCATCTACATCTTCCCTCTTCTCCTCACCCTCCTCCTCTTCTTTTCCGCCTTCTCTTCTCCTGCTTACTCCCCTTCCCTCCTCTTCCTCCACCTCCTCCTCCTCTTCCACCTTCTCTTCTTCCTCTTTTCCATCTTCCTCCTTCTCCTCTTCTTCCTCCTCTTCCTCGTCTACACCTTCCTCCTCCTCACCCTCCTCCTCTTCTTTTCTGCCTTCTCTTCTCCTTCTTACTCCCCTTCCCACCTCCTACTCTTCCTCCACCTCCTCCTCCTCTTCCACCTTCTCTTCTTCCTCTTTTCCATCTTCCTCCTTCTCCTCCTCTTCCTCTTCTTCCTTCCTCTTTGCCTTCCTCCCTGTTCCCCTCACCCAGAGCCTTTGCACCAGGAGCTGTATCCTGGCGGTGGTGCCCTTGGGGTCCTTCTGCCGGATGGACTCCAGGACGAGGTCGGCCAGGAAGCCGTGGCAGCCGCGCCCGTAGAAGATCTCCTCCTGGGACAGCGGCAGGCTCACCAAGACGACCTCTGCGGAGCAAAGCACTCGCTCAGCTGCGGCCTGGCCCCTGCCCATCGCCCCGGTCATCCTTTGGGGTGACCCTTCCTTCCCCTTGGAGACCCCTACCTTGGGGGCCGGGCTGTGCGAGGGCGCTGGGCAGGTGGAGGCCCTCCAGAGAGGCCGCGTAGAGGAGGCTCCCTTCGTGGGACACCCAGGACCCGTCGCCCGACACCACCGGCGGGTGCGACACCTTCAGGATCAGGCCGCTCTGGCCACCGGGCTCCCAGCAGGCCGGCCCTGCACACACACACGGAAAGACACACACACACATGTGGTGTGGAGGCTGCAAGGTGTGCCATGTTTGGAAGCCTCACCTGTGCCTCTCCAAGACGGCCGAGGAAGAGGTTGTGCAAAGGACCCTCAAGCTATGGAAGGGAAGATGGATGGATGGGTGGATGGATGGATGGATGGATGGATGGAAGGAGAGATGGATGGGCAGATGGACAGAAGGAAAGGAAGAAGGAAAGACAGGTGAAAGGAGGAACAGAAGAAAAGTGGACGGAACAGAAAGATGGCTGGAAGGAAGGACAGATGAAAGGAAGTGGAAGGAAGGATAAAAAGAAGGAAGGAAGGACAGGTAGAAGGAAGGATGGGCTGAAGGACAAAAAGAAGGAATGAAGAACAAAAAGATGGGTGGGTGGAAGTAAGGAAGAAAGAACAGAAGGAAGGAGGGAAAGACAGATAGGAGGACAGGAGGGAGAGGATGGACGGAAGTAAGGGAGGAATGATGGAAGGAAGGAAGGAAGGAAGGAAGGAGAGATGGATGGGCAGATGGACAGAAGGAAAGGAAGAAGGAAGGACAGGTGGAAGGAGGAACAGAAGGAAAGTAGGCGGAACAGAAAGATGGCTGGAAGGAAGAACAGATGAAAGGAAGAGGAAGGAAGGACAAAAAAGGAAAGAAGGAAGGACAGGTAGAAGGAAGGATGGGCTGAAGGAAGGGAAGAAGGAAGGATAGACTGAAGGACAAAAAGAAGGAATGAAGGATGAAAGACAGGTGGGTGGGTGGAAGTAAGGAAGAAAGAACAGAAGGAAGGAGGGAAAGGCAGATGGAAGAAAGGGAGGGAGAGGATGGACGGAAGTAAGGGAGGAATGATGGATGGAAGGAAGGAAGGAAAGAAAGATGGGTGGAAAGGTGGATGGATGGATAGATGGATGGATGGAAGGAAGGAAGGAAGAAGGAAGGAAGGAAGGATAGATGGTGGAAATGGATGGATGGATGGATGGATGGATGGAAGGAAGGAAGGAAGGAAGGAAGGAAGGAAGGAAAGACAGATGAAAGGAAAGAGGAAGGGCAGATGAATGGAAGGAAGGAAGGACAAATGAAGGGAAGGATAGACAGATGGACAGAAGAAAGGGAAGAAGAAAGATAGATGGAAGGGCAAACGGAAGGAATGAAGGATGGAAGGGAGGAAGGGAGGAAGGATGGACGGAAGTAAGGGAGGAATGATGGATGGAAGGAAGGAAGAAAAGAAAGATGGGTGGAAAGGTGGATGGATGGATGGATGGATGGATGGATGGATGGATGGATGGATGGATGGAAGGAAGGAAGGAAGGGAAGACAGATGAAAGGAAAGAAGAAGGGCAGATGGATGGAAGGAAGGAAGGACAAATGAAGGGAAAGATAGACAGATGGACAGAAGAAAGGGAAGAAGAAAGGATAGATGGAAGGGCAAACAGAAGGAAGGAATGAAGGACGGATAGATGGATGGAAGGAAGGGAGGAGGGATGATGGATGGATGGATGGATGGATGGAAGGGCAGATAGAAGGAAGGACTCATGGCGACATCCACCTCCCCCTTGCTTTTGCCAAGAGCAAGGAGGGTTGACCTGCCTCCCCCCCCCCCCCCGGGTGCAGCCCCTGCTGACCTTTCTCGCTGTCCTTGGGGCCCCTCGGCCCTCCTCTGCCTGCATCCTCTCCATGAGAAGGATGCATCTGTGCAGCCGCCTTGCCCGGCTGAGTCTCAGGGGCCGGTGTCCCCATCGTGTGCTGCCCGGCTTTGGGGGGGCTTTCCTGCATGGCCAGTGCCACCTTGGGGCCATTTTGTGGGGGGCTGCAGGGGGGCCTCTTCCTGGGCCCTTCATCCTCCTCCTCCGCCGGGGCCACCCTGTCCCATCCCTGGACCAGGGAGATCAGCCTCTGGATGGGGGTCTCACTGCACGTGGCCGGCCTCTTCCGCGGGGGGCTCTCCGGGGCCCGGTCTTCTTCGCTGGAGGAGGGAGCGGGGCCTTCTCTGCCGCTGCTCTGGCGCTTGGACCCCTTGACCGGAGAGACACGAGCTTGCCGCCCTCCGCTCTCCCTGCCACTCACCCGCCGCTCGGGGCCCTCTCTGCCTCTGCTCCAGGCACCGGCCGTGGGCACCTGTGGGGGCTCCAGAAGGAAGAAGGATGCAAGCCCATTGAAACCCCTCTGGCCCCCCAGCAGAGAGAAGGCCGTGCAGAAAAGAAGCCTGACCTCTGCCCTCCAGTGAAAGGGGCCCAAAGTGGGCAGGAGGACGGGGGGGGGGGGGCATTGGATTACAAAAAACCCTCAGATAGAACAAGGAGAACTTGGGCAACGATTGACATACAGGCCGTCCCCAAGTTACAAATATCTGACTTACAAGTGGCTTCTATTTAAGAATGGTGTTGGACTGGATGTCCTTTGGGGGTCCCTTCCAAATCTATGATACTACATATATTTCATATATATACATTGTCAGGAGTCAATTTCTGACGGCATGAAGACATCGCAAATTCCCTCCGTGACGTCCTGACTGAATCATCCTGGCTGGATCAATTCTTTCTCTCTGACATTTTGAAGCCAGCAAAGGGCGCTGGAAACCTTGTATTGGAACTTGTGAAGCAACCAGTTCTAATTAGGAAACTGAGAAGAGGGGGAGACGGGCAGGAAAGGTGTATAAAAGGAAGTGGTGGTGGGAGAAAGTCCGCAGTGTCTTCCTTTGCTGCAGAGATACAAGCAATATGTCCATTTCAAAGCAAAACTGGCTTGTGAGTGGTCATTTAATATTGCTATATAAAACCTACAGTCCTATATATATATATATATGTGTGTGTGTGTGTGTGTGTGTGTGTGTGTGTGTGTGTGTATATATATGCATGCATATACAGGCAGTCTCCAAGTTACAGACATCCGACTGACAAACAACTAGTTTAAAACAGAACAAGGTTGGACGGGATGGCCTTTGGGGGACCCTTTAAAATTATGATCCTATGTCTATCTCATATGTATACACACACACACACATACATATATATACATATACAGGCTGTCCTCAGGTTACAAACATCCAACTGGCAAACTATTCCTAGTTAAGAACACTGTTGGTCCTTTGTGGGTTCCTTCCAAATCTATGATACTACTTACACACACATATATATACATACAGGCAGTCTCCAAGTTACAAACATCCAACTGACAAAGGACTCCTAGTTAAGAACAGAACAGGGTTGGACTGGATGGCCCTTTGGGGGTCCCTTCCAAAATCTATGATCCTATATCAATCCCATATATGTATGTATATACCGGCTGTTAGGAATAGTGGGAGTTGGAGTCCAAAACACCTGGAGGGCCCAAATTTGCCCATGCCTGGTCTAGAAGGTATTCACTATGGTGAGCATGATAACGATCGCAAAACCCGGGACATTGTTACACTGTTATGATCTGATATATATATGTTCGTAACTGGGAAACGGCCTGTATCAGGTCTGTAATGAGGAACCAGTGGAGAAGGAGGGAGGGAGGGAGGGTGGAGTGGCCTTGGGGCCTCACCTCCTGGGGGTCTCGCCCGGGCGGCTCTTCCTTCTCCGGCCCCAGGCTCTGCGGCAGAGGGGCTTCCCTCCTCGGACCTTCACGCTGCTGCAGCCACAGCCTGCAAGGCACCCCCCTCACGCTCAATGGCCGGAAACACCCTTGCAGCCAGCCTTCCTCCCCAGCCGCGGGGAGATGCTAAGCAGGGCCACTCCACCCCTGGGACACTTGTTCCCTTTGAACCCCAGCAGACCTGTAGCCGTCGTGTTGGTGGAGGGCCTCCAGAAGAGAAGGGATCTGGAACTCCGCTGCTTCCTGGCGCAGAAGGAGCCACTCCCTGCGGTGACAGAGATTGCATTTGCAAGGCACTCAAGAGTCTCCGGACCATATTGCGTTGAGATGTCATCCATTTATATCCATATGCGGCCGGTATTACTTTTTCTTAGGACTGGATGCATGCTGCAATCAGATGGGATGCATTCTCTGCCCATTGCCCCCGATTGTTATGGTTTGGAAATGCTCTGGCGCATCCCAACACAAAAGGCCGGTTCCCCCCCCTATCTGTTTCGGTTTCTAATATTGCGCAGTGACATCGCCTGGAAGTCTCAAAATACCATTCTCGCAAGAGGTTAGCTGACGGAATGCATACTGATCGCATGTAGAAACAGTAAAAACAGTGCATACAATTGGAGTAAATATGGGTTGCTGGCCTGTAATCGTTCTGGGCATGATTCACACTTTGTGAAGGAAGTGGTAGACATTTTCCTTCTGGTTTAGTATTAGTTTTTAGATTATTTGTGAAGCCTCTGTTTCCGTTGCTGCTTTTAGCAGCGGATTAGAAGAACTGGGCAGTAGCCCCACTAGTGGGTTATTTATACTGATGGGGAGAATGGGCGGGGCTACTCCAACAGTCCAAAATAGTTTCAAGAATGTTCGTTGCTGCCTGCGTGCGCGCAGGAATACCAAATGTGCGATTCACAGTTGACCACACTGGGAAAATGTACATATCTATTTTAAAAATACGATTAGAATCCTGTGTGCAATTACTCCATTTCGGTGACATTTTGCGGGCGCATTCCAACGTAATGGGACAAACATCGTATGATAGTAGCAATTTGGAATTGCATCCAAAGAGTATCAGAAACAGAGTACAGTGTTCTCTCACTTATCACAGGAGTGACATTTCAGGACCCCTGCGAAGTCGGGGCGCCCCTCCCCTTCCCTCCTCGCCCTCTTTCCCTTCCTCTTCCTCCTCCTTCTTGCCGCCACTTGGGCCCGTGATGGAGGAGGGAGCAGAGGGGTTGCGGAGCCCCGGTGGGTGGCTGGCGACAAGGAGGAGGAAGAGCAGGGTGAGGAGGAGGAGGGTGAGGAGGGAAGAAAAGCCTCTCCCTCTCCCTCCTTGCCACCAGAGGCCACACAGGGCCCACGCAGTGGCAAGAGGCCCGGGCAGTGGCAACGAGAAGGAGGAAGAGGAAGGTAAAGAGGGTGAGGGAGCGGCTCTTTGCCCTCCTTACCTTGCTCTTCCTCCTCCAGTGTTCCCTCGCTACATTATACATATACTAGCCGTCCCTGCCACGCGTTGCTGTGGCTCACATGGGGTTTCTGTGTGGGAGGTTTGGCCCAATTCTATTGTTGGTGGGGTTTAGAATGCTCTGTGATTGTAGGTGAACTATAAATCCCAGCAACTACAACTCCCAAATGTCAAGATTCTATTTTCCCCAAAGTCCAGCAGTGTTCACATTTGGGCATATTGAGTATTCGTGTAGAGTTTGGTCGAGATCCATCATTGTTTGAGTCCACAGTGATCTCTGGATGTAGGTGAACTACAACTCCAAAACTCAAGGTCAATGCCCACCAAACCTTTCCAGTGTTTTATGTTGGTCTTGGGAGTTCTGTGTGCCAAGTTTAGTTCAATTCCATCATTGGTGGGGTTCAGAATGCTCTTTGATTGTAGGTGAACTATTAATCCCAGCCACTACAACTCCCAAATGACAAATCAATTTTTTTGAGTGAAGGACATACATTGGGTTGTTAGGTGCCTTGTGTCCAAATTTGGTGTCAATTCCCCCAGTGGTTTTTGAGTTCTGTTAATCCCACAAACGAACATTACAGTTTTATTTATATAGATATGTATATTTTAAAACTGCGAAACAGCGAGTCCGCAGCAAGCGAACCGTGAAGTAGCAAGGGAGCACTGCATATCCCAATGTGAAAGACTACCTTAAGCAGTTGACACATTTCCAGGGCTTCTTGAAACGGTGTGTTTCCATGTGCCTCCCAAATCCCACTCTTTTAGTAATGCTGGAAACGATGATGATGATGATGATGATGATGATGATGATGATGCTTCTTACCGGCCTCTCCCTGTGGCTCCTCCTCACTTACTTAAATTCTGTCGGCAAGAACAGCTTCCCGAGGCGAAGGAAGTTGAGAATGTGCCGAAACATTTGCCCGTCGCCATGGATGAGAAGACTGTGGCCGAAAGCGATCCAAATGGCCTTTTTGCCGTTGGACAGCAGCTCTGGAAACTGGGGAGCAGAGCAAGAAGGGGAAAAGAAAGACGCTCGCGTGTTTGGAAGAGCGGGGTTCCCTCTGCTTTGGTTTCTGCACGCTCAGTTTCCCCATTGGGCAGGAAGATACGGAAAAACAAGAGGAATGCATTCCCCGAAGGGACCCAGGGCACCGTACCTTCAATAACGTCTGGAAGTAGGTGGCGTACCAATGGCTCCCCGCGTACACTTTGACAATATGGAGGGGCGAAAAGACGGTCACGTCCGCGGCCCAGTTTGCCTCTGGAAGGGAATTCAAAATGCTAACAAGGAGAGCAATAAATGGCGTTACCTCTGCGGAGAGAGGCTTACAGCCGCTTGTCTTACCCGTTCCTCGGGTGTCCGTGGGCATCCCTTGCTTCAAGTAGATCTTCAAAGCTTCCTTCATCGGCTCGTAGGTGACGTCCATCTGATCCAAATAGGCACAGAGTTCTGGGAGCTCGGACATCGTCCGTGTCAGCGGGAGCCGGCAGATCCCCAACCAGTTCCTTTGGTGTGTAAAGAAAGGAAAGGTGTTGTGTTGTTGTGAGAGATCCCTTTTGGAAGAGACCCATTAGATTACAGCTCCCCAAACTACGGCCCGCGGTCCGGATACGGCCCTTCAAGGCCCTTTACACAACCCTTGCTCTAAACTTTAGAGAGTCGCCCTGAATCTGAAAGGCCTTGAAAACACAACAACAATAACAACAACAACAACAACAACAACAACAATCTTGTTTGGAGAAATGTTTCCTATGCAATTTTCTCTCCTCCTCCCCTCATCTCTGTCAATTCTCTTCTTCAACTTTACCCTGGTGCTTGGCAACACGCATCTCTCTCAAATCCCTTCACGCTGCACTCCTTTTTGCTCCGTCTTTTGCATGGGCAAACTTCGGCCCTCCAGATGTTTTGGACTTCCGTAACATGGGTAGGCAGATGACTGAAGTGTCCAGTTCCAAGACTACTCCCACCAGTCCCCTTCCTTTTCCCCCTTCAGCCCTCCAAGGGGGGAAATAAGCAGAGCTCTCCTCCTGGCCCAACCTGGGGTGCCCCTCCGTACCTGACGTGCTGGAAGAGGACTCCGTTCCCGGAGACGTACAGCCGGCTCCTGTCCAGGCTGCCCTCCATGTGGAGCTGCCCCAGGGCCGAGTCCGGGTACTTGACCAGCAGGCCCAGCGCCATCGGGAACAGGGCGAGTGGGCGGCCCTTGGGGCCCCGAGCGCTGCAGGACGGCCGCCCCACTCTGCCCTTCGTGGGCCCGACTTCGGCACCGGGGGCCTCCTCCTCCGAGGCCAGTCCTGGGAAGGAAGGAAGGAAGGAAGGAAGGAAGGAAGGAAGGAAGGAAAGCCACACGGTTACATCCTACTGGAACATGGCCAGGAAAACTCACAGCAACTCAGTGATTCTGAAGTCAAACTAGACTTTTAAGGGGGTCAACTCCAAGGGGAGAGGACCCTTAGTTCCCACCAAAGAGGGAACGCTACCTTGGCGAGCCTTCAGAGAAGCCTGATTCCAGCAATTTTATTTAATATTAATAATTGAAATGAGACTCTTGCCAAAGCGAAGAAGAAGAGGCATCGAGGTTTAATGAGCGATTCAGCTGAGACGGATGCCATTGCAGTGATCATTCACATGCAAGCATACCAGTACATTGATCGGAGGCATATTTATAGCAAAACACAGGTCTGAAAGTTTCCAAACTCCCTCCCTCTTTGGCTCCTTAGCCAATCAGGGAGAAGGAGGCGGGACGGAAGAGGGACAACATGTCCAGAGAGGATGATGACCTTCCACTGTCCCGGATTTCCTGTGCCCGAGGGATCAGCCAGCCAAGGAAACTAGTTTTTTTTGTTGTTGTGATGGATCAGTGATTAGGGATAATCATTTGATTTAGGTTTTCCAGGATCAGATCAGGTAAAAGGTGAGGCTGAGAAAGATGTTTGTTGTGAAGGAAAACTTGGCAGGGGAGGAAATCCCAGTCTGATGACCCCCTCCTCAAGTCAAATAGTAACTCCAGGTCCCATTGTTCAGGTGTGAGTTCCAAGTCAATAGGTGTTTTTGTGATTCCTGATCAGCCTCCCAAAGGGCAAAAGAGTTCATGGCTGGGTCAGACTTGTGAAGGAAATACATAGAAGGAAAGTCTATAGAAATTGTAGGAAGTTCATACCAATCACCCCTTCTCCATCCCGCCCACCAGGGAAATTTAATAAAGAAATTATTTTCAAGCAATGTGAGTCCATAGTTCATTTTGAGGGAAGTTCATGAGCGGGAAAGATGTCCTTGTGAGTCCAAAACATTAGGCAGAGCTCTTAAAACCCAAAAGGAAAGTCTGTTGATTTCCCACTGAGCCATTGGGTGGAATTCTGCCACGCTGGGGTCGAATCTGGTCCTTGGGAAACTACAACTCTCAAAGGGCAGAAGTCCCAAGATCCAGCCATTTCCCAAAAGCCTCGTGGGGTCCTTGTTGTTGTCAGTGCCTTGGCAATGTGACCAAGACTTAACCCTTGTTGTGTAGTCTGGTGCCCTTGCCCTTTGCAGAACTATAAGTCACTATCCCTTATTTGGGGGGGGGGGGGTGGGGGTGGCTTGACTTCAATTCCAGCCATGAAAGCCTCCAACAACACAATGGACATCTTTGAGTGTTTTGCACCAAAAAGGCAGTGACGGGAGCCGCACCGAGGAGCGCCTTGTGGGCCTTCAGGGCTTCGTTGACCTCCGGGATGCCCAGGGCTTCCGCTTCCGCTTCCAGGGCGTCCAGGTGGGAGAAGTCATCCGGCAGAAGAAGCCTCCCGCAGCGGAGGAAATTCGCTGGACAAGGACGACAACAAGGAGAAGGGGAACCAAGATAAGCCCAGGGGCCCGCTCTGGAGGCTGTATTCCATTCCCAAGAGAGAAACAACCACAACCACAACCACAACCACAACGTTATTTCTTACCTGCTTCTCTCTCTCCACACCTCAAGGCAGGACACAGCACAGTTGAAAACACACAAATAGTATAAAAATTCTACAAACACAGGCTAAAATTCAGAATGACCTCTGATCCCGGGGTGAATGTGGGCTTGACCGACGAGCATGGGCAGGAATGCGTTGAATATTCAGTATCTCATTATGAATATGCAAATATATAGGTTGCTTACCTGTAACCGTAGTTTCCCAAGTGGTCACCTGTGAATTCGCACATAGGGTAGTTTCTGCACCTGAGCAGACAGCTTCGGAAGCTTCTAGATAGATTTGAAAAACTTTGGCGGTTAGCCCCGCCCACTCTCCCCTTGCAAATATAAGTAGCAGGTGGGCGGCGCCACCACCTCAGTTCGTCCGCTGCGGAAGCAACCCGAAAAACTGAGGCATGACAACAGTGGGGAGGATGGGTGGGATTGTGCGAATTCACAGGTGACCACTCGGGAAACTACGGTTACAGATCCGAAGCTGTCTGCTCAGGCGCAGAAACTACCGTATGTGCGTATTCACAGTTGACCACTATGGGAAAATTACAAAAATCCCAAAGGCTTTTGTTCCCAAGCATTTCGGGCATCTGATGCAAATATATTATAATATTATATTATTATATAACAGCCGTGGGCCAACTTTGGCCCTCCAGGTGTTTTGGACTCCAACTCCCACAATTCCCAACAGCCGGCAATAATCATTGTATGCTGATGCTTTTATGTTAAGTCGTTTTGAACCTCCTTCGGGAGAGAGAAAGCAGGGTATAAATATTATAATCATCATCATCATCATCATCATCCCCATAATCAAGGAGGGAGAAAGCCAGGCAAGTGCTCCCCGTTCTCCCCCCACTTTCTCTGCTCACCGATGAAGCGGAATTCGCTGTTCTCGCACTCGACCAGGGCGGCGTTGTCCGAGAGCCACAGCAGGTTGTCGTCGTTGACCAAAGCGGGGTGCCTCTCCACCAGATCCAGCGGCAGGAAGCAGTAGTGCACTTCCTCCTCCGTGTCCAGGAGCGGGGTGTCCATCAAGCCCAGGGGGGCCTTCTCCTGCAACCCTAAAGGGAATTGGAGCGGGGAGAAGGCGGCATGGGTTCCCGGGCTGGACTACTGCAAGGGGCTCCCTATGGGGCTGCCCTTGAAGGCGGCACTGGCCCGCTTTACGCCTCAACTGCCTTCTTTTCACATTGCTATTCCCTTGATCAGGGGTCATTTCTGTTAGGGACCTAGAAATAGCCAAGCGTTACCGGTCAAGGATGGGTTTTTCGGGGGGAACTCGGCCGGCTTGCTGATGCATTTCCTGGTCCGCCAGTAATTCATGGAGGCTCTCTCTGCGATCGGGATGTCGGCCGGGCGGATGCGCAGGTTGTGCTTCCCTTCCTTCAGGTTGTCCAGAGTCTGTCAAAGCAGAGGCCGAGAGCGCTCGTCAGGCCTTGACCCTCAAGGGCAAACCCAGGGCGGTGATGGTGATGATGGTGGTGGTCAGTAGGCTTTTGGGGTGCAGTGATATCATATATAATAATGGGGGTGGTTTGAATCAGAAGTGACTTGAGACACTGCAAGCCGCTTCTGGTGTGAGAGAATTGGCCGTCTGCAAGGATGTTGCCCAGTGGTTTGATATTTTCCCATCCTTGTAGGAGGCTTCTCTCATGTCCCTGCATTGGAAGCTAGAGCTGAGATGGGAGCTCACCCTGCTCCCCAGATTTAAACCGCCGACCTGTCGGTCAGCAGTCCTGCTGGCACAAGGGTTTAATCCATTGCATTACTGAGGGCTACAATATAATAGTGAAATAATAATAATATAAATATTATAATGATGATGGTGATAGTGATGATCGTGGCCGGTGGGCTTCTTGGGTCTGTTGTCCTCCCCTGACCCTGCAGATCCTTCTTATATAATAATAATAATAATAATAATAATAATAATAATAATAATAATGGTGATGATGATGATGATGATGATGATGATGATGATGGTGGTGGTGGTGGTGGTGATATCTCCTTTGGGCCTGTGGTCCTCCCTGGACTCCCCTCCTCTCCCCCCATGGTGATGATGGTGTCCATCATAAGACAGTCCATCATCATAATAAAGTAAAATAATAATAATAATAATAATAATAATAATAATAATAATAATAATAGCTCTTTGGATCTACTATATGATGATGATGATGATGATGATGGTGGTGGTGGTGGTGGTGATATCTCCTTTGGGCCTGTGGTCCTCCCTGGACTCCCCTCCTCTCCCCCCATGGTGATGATGGTGTCCATCATAAGACAGTCCATCATCATAATAAAGTAAAATAATAATAATAATAATAATAATAATAATAATAATAATAATAATAATAATAATAGCTCTTTGGATCTACTATATGATGATGATGATGATGATGATGGTGGTGGTGGTGGTGGTGATATCTCCTTTGGGCCTGTGGTCCTCCCTGGACTCCCCTCCCCTCCCCCCATGGTGATGATGGTGTCCATCATAAGACAGTCCATCATCATAATAAAGTAAAATAATAATAATAATAATAATAATAATAATAATAATAATAATAATGGCTCCTTGGCTCTACTGTATCATGATGAGGTTGTGAGGTCTGTTGGAAGTAGGAAAATGGGTTTATCTATCTGTGGAATGACCAGGGTGGGACAAAGGACTCTTGTCTGCTGGAGCTAGGTGGGAATGTTTCAACTGACCACCTTGATTAGCAATATAATGGCCTAACAGTGCCTCAAGCAAACTTTTGTTGAGAGGTGATTAGATGTCCTTGTTTAATGTATTGTCGAAGGCTTTCATGGCCAGAATCACTGGGTTGTTGTAGGTTTTTTCGGGCTATATGGCCATGTTCTGGAGGCATTCTCTCCTGATGTTTCGCCTGCATCTATGGCAAGCATCCTCAGAGGTAGTGAGGTCTGTTGGAATTAGGAAAATGGGTTTATATATCTGTGGATGACTCTTCTCTGCTGGAGCTAGGTGGGAATGTTTCAACGGACCACCTTGATTAGCATATAATGGCCTAACAGTGCCTGGGGCAAACTTTTGTTGAGAGGTGATTAGATGTCCTTGTTGTTGTGCTGTTGTCATTTTAGAGGTCTAGTTGGAACTAGGAAAATTGGGTTTATAATAATAATAATATATTATAATATTTAATATAATAATTATAATAATAATTATGCATGATGATGATGGTGATGATGGTGATGGTGGTGATGACTCCAACTTGTGGTCCTCCTTGACCCCCTCCCCTCCTCTCATGGTCATGATGGTGTCCATCAAAAGATAGTCCATCATCATAATAAAATAATAGTATAATAATACATATTATTATTATATATAATAATAATAATAATAATAATAATAATAATAATAATAATAATGGTGGCTCCTTGGATCTGCAAGGTGATGATGTGGTGGTGGTGATGATAGTGGTGATGGTGGTGATGATGTGATGGTGGTGATGATGATGGTGGTGATGATGATGATGATGATGATGGTGGTGGTGATGGTGGTGATGGTGGTGGTGATGATGATGGTGGTGGTGATGATGATGTGGTGGTGGTGATGATGTTGATGGTGGTGATGATGATGATGATGTGGTGGCGGTGATGATGATGGTGGTGGTGATGATGATGGTGATGATGATGATGTGGTGGTGGTGATGATGTTGGTGGTGGTGATGATGATGGTGGTGATGATGGTGGTGATGATGTGGTGGTGGTGATGATAGTGGTGATGGTGGTGATTATGTGGTGGTGGTGGTGATGATGATGGTGGTGATGATGGTGGTGATGATGTGGTGGTGGTGATGATAGTGGTGATGGTGGTGATGATGTGATGGTGGTGATGATGATGGTGGTGATGATGATGATGATGATGGTGGTGGTGATGGTGGTGATGGTGGTGGTGATGGTGATGGTGATGGTGATGGTGATGGTGATGATGATGATGATGATGATGGTGGTGGTGGTGGTGATGATGATGATGTGGTGGTGGTGATGATGATGATGGTGGTGATGATGATGATGATTATGTGGTGGTGATGATGATGATGGTGGTGATGATGATGGTGGTGATGATGTGGTGGTGGTGATGATGATGATAGTGGTGATGATGATGATGATTATGTGGTGGTGGTGATGATGGTGGTGGTGATGATGTGGTGGTGGTGATGATGATGATAGTGGTGATGATGATGATGATGATTATGTGGCGGTGGTGATGATGATGGTGGTGATGGTGATGATGGCGGTGGTGATGATGTTGGTGGTGATGATGATGGTGGTGATGATGTCGGTGGTGGTGATGATGGTGGTGATGATGATGATGTGGTGGTGGTGATGATGATGGTGATGGTGATGATGATGATGATGGTGGTGGTGATGATGATGATGGTGGTGATGATGATGATGATTATGTGGTGGTGATGATGATGATGGTGGTGGTGATGATGATGGTGGTGATGATGTCGGTGGTGGTGATGATGGTGGTGGTGATGATGATGGTGATGATGATGATGTGGTGGTGGTGATGATGATGGTGATGGTGATGATGATGATGGTGGTGGTGATGATGATGATGGTGGTGATGATGATGATGATGATGGTGGTGATGGTGATGGTGATGGTGGTGATGATGTCGGTGGTGATGATGATGGTGGTGATGACTTCAACTGACCCTCCCCCCCTTGACCCTCCCCCCCTCCGATTTGGGCGTGGGTCGGGGGTGGTGTGTTTGTGTCACCTGGAGTGGGCGTGGCTGTAGGCGGAGCCTGCGGGCGAGCTCTCGGAGGAGGGCGTGGTGGGTGTGTTGTGGGGCGGGGCCTGGGCCTGGGGGGCCTGGGCGGAGGTGGCGGAAGGCCATCCCGTCCGCGTCCAGGAAGAGGCGCCGGGCCCCTCCGGCCCCCTCCCCCCCCAGCCCCTCCCCCTCCTCCCCCAGCCCCTCCCCCACCCAGGGGGGCGGGGCCAGCGTGCTCCTTGGGAGGGAGAAGCCCCACCCGCCCACGCTCAGCGCCAGGCCACGCCCCCCCGGCCCCGCCCCCTCCTCCTCCTCCTGGCCTCCTCCTCCTCCTCCTCCTTCCTCCTCTTCTTCCTCCTCCTGGCCTTCCACTTCCTTCTCTTCTTCCTCCTGCCGAGAGAGAAAGATCAATCAATCAGCGCTCTGCACACGCTCAGGAGCACGGCCCCCTCCCCATCCCCCGGGGGTGGGTGGGTACCATCGGGGCGGGCAAGGAAGAAGAAGAAGGCGATCCAGGCGGGCCCCCCCTTCCTCCTTCCTCCTTCCTCCTCCTCAACGGCCTCTCCTCGCGCCCCCCTCCCCAGCCCCGCCCCCGCCCAGACGCCCACTTGGTTGCCAGGCAACGGGGGGCGCGCGGACCCCTTCACACAATTCCCTGATCCGACGCCGCACTTCCCGGCGGTGGCCACTGGGTGGCAGCAGAGGGCCGCCTCACCTGGAGAGAAGGAGGAGGAGGAGAGCCTGGCTCCTGCCTGCCTCTCTCTCTCCAGGGCTTGCAGAGTTTGGGACTCCAACTCCCTCCAACTCCCGCCAAGGAAGGGGCCCGACGCTGCTGGGAATCTTTCCTAGATGTGGCCACTGGGCAGCAGCAAAGGACTGACCAGGGAAGGACAGCCTGGCTTATGAGACTTTGGGACTCCAGCTCCCATGATTCCCAACAGGCCCTTTCCTTTTCCACTTGACCACTGAGGGGGCCAAGCAAGGGGCCCGAAGTTGCTGGGAAGCATGGGAGTTGGAGTCCAGAACACCTGGAGGGAGGGCCAAAGCTTCTGCCTCTCAATTGCTTGGAGAGTTTGGGACTCCAACCCCCACCATTCCCCACGGTATCATAGAATCCTAGAATCCTAGAGTTGGAAGAGACCTCGTGGGCCCTCATCCAGTCCAACCCCATTCACTCAAGAAGCAGGAATATTGCATGCAAATCACCCCTGACAGATGGCCATCCAGCCTCTGCTTAAAAGCCTCCAAAGAAGGAGCCTCCACCACACTCCCTCTGGGGCAGAGAGTTCCACTGATGAACGGCTCTCCTTACAGTCAGGAAGTTCTTCCTCATGTTCAGACGGAATCTCCTCTCTTGTAGTTTGAAGCCATGGTTCCATTGTGTCCTGGTCTCTCTCCAGGGAAGCAGAAAGGAAGCTCCCTCCCTCCTCCTCCTCCTCCCTGTGGCTGCCTCTCACATATGTATACATGGCCCTCATCAGATCTCCTCTCAGCCTTCTCTTCTTCAGGCTAAACATGCCCAGCTCCTTAAGCCGCTCCTCATAGGGCTTGTTCTCCAGACCCTTCCTTATGTTCAGATGGAATCTCCTCTCTTGTAGTTTGAAGCCATGGCTCCATTGTGTCCTCCTGGTCTCTCTCCAGGGAAGCAG